ATGGGTTTAACAATGTAGAACAAAACCTCAAGGCACAGTAACCGCCCACAAGCCCAACATAATATTCATCCCACAAAGACTTAGGGCACAAGAAACACAGGGTGCTCATCCCAGCCCATAAGTCATACATCGCACACAGCAGAGTCTTATGGCCTGCAGCCATTTTAACACTATTCCATCAAATACAGTCATCCAAACAAAAGAAAGTATACGTCAACACAGTCGTGGGCCCTAAGATGGCAATATACATAACATTACATGCCTAAACCAAAAGAGGACTACTAGGCTATGCTCGCCTATGCCTCTGGTTGCTTCCCTTCGCGCCGAGCCAAACTAGATGGCTCTCCTGAAAAGTATTGATGAACAGCGGGGTGAGACGTAAAGTCCCAGTAACCAAGTATTAATTTATGACATATACGAGTAGGATGGCAGGTTGGTGAAGTAGTGCTTAAATATAGTTTAAGAAATAAATGGTACTTTAATAGATATAATCACATAAAAAGAGTATATCTCTCCATCCACAACACAATTCATATAAAAGTACATATATGCAACAACACAATGAAATATGCCCTCCCATCACCTTGCTCCTCCTTATGACTCCTTGACAAGGACCCGGGCTTTCTGTGCTGAGTAACCCGGCCAAAGGTCACCCCACTCACATCAAGCAACGGGCCCCCTCCTGTACCTACACCGTCCAAGAATGGACTATGGTGCAAGAGATGTCTACCCAAGAGTTCATTCTCAATTCCGGGCCAAGGAAAAGGAAGAACTACAGGGGTCTAACAATAAGGCCAAACACTGGGATCCGTAGTGTAGGCATGCCGCGCGGGCTTCAAGAACAATTATCCTCCACATAACAAAATCCCATCCTCCACATATGAACCCCATGCATAGTCACAATATAAATCAAAATATCACAATCTTCAAAGTAAGATGATATAATTTCAAACAAAGTATAACACATTTTCATTTCATTTAATAACATAATATTAGTATATTAAATTCAGTACTACACGAAAACACAATTTCCAATAAAACACAACTCAAACATAATTAGATCAACATACTTCCCACTTCACCAAAATTTGTCATATAATAAAATATATATTTTATTCACAGGCATACTTTTACAAATTAATTAAGAAAATACAAACATAATAAACACCTTACAATCCAAAGCGTGTATATAAAATAAATTAACCCCGGTTACCTCTACTCCAAGCTTAACCTCACAGCTTGAGAAATAAGAGCGCAAATTACAAACTCCGAAGTACAAGATAATCTACAAATAATATAGATACAATTTAATATACATACAAATAATTAACTTAAATTACATAGAATTTATTATTAATAATATCTATACTTATATTTACTATCCAAAAATTCTTACTTCAAATAACAATTTTTCTCTACCCAAATAACTCATTTAAATTATAAATATTTATAAAATATTGTTTTTATCTAATATTGTAAGGATCTCAATTTATAACTTAAGTTTCTAGTTTCAAAATTTTTCCAATAATATAGTCTTAACCTATTTTACATTTTAAACCGATTAAAATATCAATAATATATTAAGTAACCCAAATAAGTTATTTAACTTAAATTTAATCGGTAAAAACATTCTATATATCTTGAATAATACATTTTTCAACTAAAATCTTAGTTTAAAATTCTCAAAACAATCAATAAACAACTATAAACCGATTAAAATTTCAATAATATATCAAACAACCCAAATAAATTATTTAACTTAATTTTAATCGGTATAAATATGATATATATCATAAGTGACAGATTTTTCAACAAAATAAATTTGATTTTAAATACCATAGGTACTAAATTGACAAATCTAAACCGATTAAAATTTCTTAATAATAAATCTTTAAATTCCTACGGTCAAATATCTTCGAAACTCAATACTTACTCTATACCCAAATCACAAAATTTTCTCCAAACATTATAATGATACTACTAATATAAAGCTCTAAATATATAGGAAATATTCATAAGGAAAATTTTAATAGAAAGAAGTGTTTAATGTACCTATATGATCCCCAAATGCTAGCACGTCCTTGCAGAAATCTTCACTCACTCTCTTGTTCTTTGTTTTTCTTCCTGCATCTCTCACCCTCTCTTTCTCTATTCTACGTAACACTCCCTCCTCTATTTATCATTCTCATTTCAACCGTCCACCCCAAGTTTTTCTGCCTTCATTTATTATCCTTCGCCATTTTTTCCTCCTCCCTCTTTAATTACCCGATCGAAATTCTTCTTCGCCTTCAATTCACCCTACTTTTCCACCGACTTTGGTGGAAAAGTTGGGTGTATTGTTTTTTTTTTTTAAATTAATAAAATATTATTATTTAATAATAATAAAATATTATATAATATTTTTTTTTGTTTTTTTTTTGTTTTTTGTTTTTGTTTTTTTTTTTTTTTTTTTTACACTTTCACTGCAATGGAAAGGTTCCTTGCACAAACTGAGATTAAGCTTCAAACAGATAAGTATGCGGAGGTGGAGAAGTATCTTCAAGGTGAGTTAGCTGAAGCTCGTGATCCTGCATTTGATATTCTGGGTTGGTAGAAAGTCAATGCTAGCAAGTATAGAGTCCTTTCATTGATTGCTAGTGATGTGTTGGTGATGCCTATCTCCACTGTGTCTTCAGAATCAGCATTTAGCACAGGAGGTCGTGTTATTGATGATTTTAGAAGCTCATTATCCCCTAAGATGGTTGAGGCACTTATTTGTGCACAGAATTGGCTATCTCCATCTACATCTAAGCTAAAAAGACTTGACACTGATGAGTTTAATGACACTGATGATGTGATACATGGTAAATGAATTATGATCATATTATTTATTTTATAACATCAAATTTATTTGATTCTTAAAAATAATTGTTTTTTTCCTGTTCTTTTCTTTCTTTGCAGATGAAGTAGCATCAAATTTGATTGATCAAGAGCAAGAGCTAAAGAAATAGTGGATGACTAAATGTTGATTATTGCTAATTTGCTGTTGTGGTTCTAAATTTGTGTTGTTGCATTTCTATCTTTGTGTTCATGTTGAGTTGGATTTCTATATGTGACTTTGTGTTGTTTTTTTAAGACTTAGACTTTAAGCGTACGAGCAGCCTATCTATGCAGTATGGTTTGGCTGGAATGGATGCTGGACAATTGGACAAATTGTGTTAAATTATTTCAGCCAATTGTGTTAAATTATTTCAGCCTTTATCTTAGATTAATGCTTGAACTTCTTCTATATTTAAATGATTGTTGTAGCCTTCATGGATATTAGTTAGATTGAGTTATTTTAATTTGATTCAGGTGGTTGTTAGCTTTTTATTATGTGTTTTGAAGCTGAAAATTTGCTTCAGATATCACTAGTAAAGGGGTTGTAATTCGTGTGTTTTTAAAAGTGTTTTGAGTTAGCTTTGAACAAAAAATTCATAGGCCCAATAGATTTAGTTCGGCCTAATTTGCTCCTATTGGGCACTAGCAAGAAATAAAGGTGCTGGGCCAGCCCAATTTGAAGCACTACCCACAGTGCTTTCCTCATGCGGGATGTCCTGTCCCGTCCCAGTTGTGCCTCGATCCCTACCGTCACGTGTGCAGGGACGGGACGCGAGAAGCAAAATGTGTTCCGACCAGTTAACCAAGACGAGACGCGGCCGGTCCCGTCTCGTCCCGTGTGCAGGCCTACCTAGGATTTTACAAGATTAGCTATGATAGTTCCTGCTAATACCTTGCAAAGTCTAATTGCTAAATTACCTCCAATGTTGGCAGCTGGGAGCTACAACAAATGGGGTCTTCTCCATTAAAAGTGCATATTATTTGCTACAACTTTAAGAAGGTTTACAAAGCCATCTAGAAGTGGAAAGGTATTGAAAGAATTAAAATTTTCATGTGGATTGCGTTCCATAATAGACTTGCAACAAAAGCGTGGAGAAGGGATGCTACCTCTCCAATATGTGATTTTTGCAATCGAGGCACAGAGGATACTCTTCATATTTTACGTGATCTATGGAAGCAGATTTTGAACCCCCGATACCACCATTCCTTCTTTGCGGCTTCTCTACAAGACTGGTTTAAACTAAATCTTAATAGAGATTGAGTTCTTCTATGGATGGATTATGGGATTTAGTTTGGGGAGTCACCATTTGGAAGATTTGGGAATGACGAAATGAAGCTCTCTTCAATCCACAAGTCACACAACATAAGGAGCCAGCTGCTATCATTATGAACTACTGGAAAAATTTTGTGCAAGCTCCTGACGTCTTATCTAATCATGATTCCCACTCCTCGCTAAGTGCAGCAATCTCTTCCTAAAGGATGGGTTAAAGTTAAATATTGATGGAGCAGTTTCTCCAGCTAGTCATAAAACTAGATGTGGAGGAGCCTTAAGAGATCACAGTGACATCTGGATTGCTGGTGTCACTTATTTTATAGGATCCTGGGATGCTGTTTACAAAGGATTAAAATTGGCGTGGGACATGGGATTTAGAAAAGTGATGTTAGAAACTGATGCTCAACAACTGGTTCAATTAAGAGGAAGAAAGGACAACAACTCGCTAAACAGCATCTTGCTACTGCAAATCCATGACCTTTTAACGCTTCATTGGCAGGTGGAGATTCAGCGCATTTCCAGGGAACGAATCAAGTGGCCGACTTTCTTGCAAAAGAGGGTCTCAGTAATTCTCCCCTCTCGAGTTCTTGTCCACGGTATGGGATTTGACTCCCTTTAGCTTTTGGTTTTTTAGTTGGGCTTAGCCCTCTCTCTTGTAACAATAAAAACAAAACAAAAAAAAAGGAAATAACTCATTTTCCCTTCATGCCCTCCACCTTTCATTTTTTATATTATAGTAGCAATGCTGAATAATATATAATTCATTAATTTATTTCTGTCATATCCAATTTCAAAATAAAAAAAGAAAAAAAAAAGAATTATCCATTTTTTCCCTGAAAAATAACTTTTTTTAATGTAGTAAAATATATTTATCAAATGATTTGATTTTAAATTATTTGATTACATTAATGTTAAATACGGACGAGAAGAATTTAACAAACAGAACATGCATTTCTAGTGGTCCAGAGGGAACAAAATCCGGTGTTTTTCAACAATCCTTTTAGTCGCTATACTTCCCGCGACATGTATGTGACTATTTTCTCATTTGTGTAAAAAGCTCCAGAGGTTTACTATTTCCACCACCAGTTCCGTAAGCACCAAACCCACTTCCCTGGCTCGTAAATGCCCCAAACCCACCCGATGCAGCTCCTGCAAATCCACCGCCACCAGCAGAGCTGGTACCAGAGGAAGCATTACCGGCAAATCCACCAAAAGCAGAAGCAGCTCCTGAAAAGCCACCACCAGCAGATGCAACACCAGCAAACCCTCCACCTGTTGAAGCTATGCCTGCAAAACCCCCAGCAGCTGTTGAAGCACTTGAAAAGCCACCAGCTGAGCTAGTGACTCCAAATCCACCGCCAAAACCGCTAGAAGCAGCAAAACCACTCCCTCGTAATCCATTACCAAGCTGTCTTGATTGTCCAAAACTACCTAGAACTGATCCCAGTGCCTGCTGCCCTGATCCTACTTGTGCAGGCTGGCCAAACACACTTTGAGATGTTGCAGAAACAGATGTCCCTGCACTGAAGCCACCAGAGAATGCCCCTGAATTTGTTGACTGGGCTGGTGCAGAAGACTGTGAGCTTGGGAAGGTAAAAGATGGAGGTCGAAATAACTCTCCATTAGGAACAGAAAACGCAATTGGAGGAGTCGGTGGGGCAGGGCTAATCCCAAAGCCACCAAAGCTTCTGGGTTCAGCAGTGTTACTCGTCTCAGGAGCCTCTTCCTCCATCTCATCCTCATCTGTGATTGTAGCATCTAAATTTGCAGTCTTCCCAATAGTAACACTAGAAGAAGGGAAAGTTGAAAACTGCATAGGTGCATCAGCACGCTGTTCTGGCTGAGAAACTGACATATAGCTTGATACAGAACATGTAACATCGTTTGTGGACTGTGCACTTGAAGGACTGCATTTTTCAGAAGCTTCAGGCACTGACTGAGTTTCATTGTTCGCACGCTCATTCAACTGTGTGTTCAAATCCTTAGTTGTCTCCGAATCAGTCTTTGAACTGGATATCAAAACTTGTTGAACCTCCGATTTAGGTGCCTCCAGGTTTGAATTCAAGGAAGGTGGATAAGGACATGATGGCACCACATATTCGGGGGCTTGATTAGAGTAAGGAGCTGAAGCTGAAGATGTTGAGTTGACTTGATTTGTGTTTGAACTAGTGAAAGATCTACTCAAGTCCACTGAGACTGACGCAGCAGGCACTGTTGCTAATGAGATGGATGACGAAGGAGAAGTTAATGGTGTTTTGATGGTCGGAGATGAAGTACCGCATGAACCACTAAATGAAGGCACTGCTAAAATTCTTTCACCAGGATGGCTTTTGTCGACATTGAATTGGGTAGACTTTCCCAAAAAAGGCGATGCTAGAGGAATGGTTGACGAGGCTGAGAACACAGAGTCCTGCATTCTCCGAGATTCAGAATTTACAGCATTTGAAGACTTGTTTTCTATTTTACAACCAGTAAACGTGTTCGCTTTACCAGCAGAAACAGACATTTCGCTGGATTTACTCAGCATAGAAGTTATCTCTGAGGGTGGATAGTTAGATAGCGATGAATTTTGAGGAATTTTCATCTGCAAGATAGGCTTATTCTCACTATCTGAGATTGAATTGAACTTCCCAACAATAGCATTGTACCTTTTGGCAGTCGAATTTTGATTTTCATTCAAGTGATGATGCATTATCGCAGGTGACAAATGGGATACAGGTCTTGATGAAACCATTGAAACATTGTTTCTCAGCAACATAGTATACTTGGGCTCTGAAATTTGGGTAGATGCGGGGAGGCTGTTAGTTGATATGAATGCCTTTGTGTGTTCTGACACAGCTTCAGGGTGAGCAACTTGAATGCCTGCAACCAGTATTTGTAAGGTAAGATCAGTATTCACAAAAAATTAATTCATACACATAATTCAGGCCAGCAATTAGGCGAGATCACCTCTCTGTTCAGATGCAGTGGATATAGTTAAGGAGACTCTGGAATCCGTTTGATGCGGAGATCTTTTTGGCAAAGCAAGGTCAATATTTTCTTTATCCATTGAAAAGAAAGATCTATTGATATCTGGTTTCTTGACATCTTGCAGCAGCATTCTTCTGACAGTGGTTTTAGGAGGCTCAGAACAGGTCCAACTCTGTCCCAAGTTTAGTAATACTCAGAAATTATAACATTAGTGAAACCAAGTATCAACCAAAACCATGCATCAGTTGAGTTAAACATTTCATAAAAAAACAATTTGGCAATCTGCAATGCGCACCATGAAGCTTCGGTACCCTAAGTTCTGCTCTACAGGTATCACATCAGGTACATATCTGGTCTAGTTATGGCTCGGGTACATTCCAATACATATGCAGAGGAAAAAACCTCTATGATAATGCCGAATGGAAGATAAAAAATGCTAACAAAGCTGTATAAATATTTACAATAAAAGTAAGGCATTCCCTCACTTAAAGATATGCTAGGACACAAAATAAATGGATCTGCCTACAGGTCTTTGGCATTTCACCAGGTAAGAGATGCAGCGAAGAAAATATATTGACAAAATCATCGTCAAGCAGCAAAATGGAGGAGCTTAAACCAATGAACACTTAAGTTGCAAGAAAATAATACCTGATCAAGAGAGTCTCTTCTCCTCCTAGACATTTCTGGTTCACAGCCCTTAAAAGCATTGGCTTGATTTTTCTTAGAATGATCTTTATCAGTTGCCAAATTAGAGAGCTGTAAATTCTTGCTTGAAGGAGTATTTATAACATTTTTCATGTCTGTAGAGCCAAACGAAGGTTGATATGGAATTCCTATTGTTTCAAACAACTCCTTCACGGTCTTCTGTTCCTCAGACGGGGACTTTATATTCAATGAAGCCATTTGTTTTGAGAGTGATTCTGAAAGATTCTCTGCAGCTACGAGTTGTGAATTCATTGCATTATGTACACTACACAATGACTGAATGTTTCTGGAAAGGGGAAAAAGATCCAGTTCAGTAAAATACTGCTCAATGTTATTTTTAGTAACAAGCCAAGAAATATATGTTCTTTTTTTATTAGCGCACAAGAACTCTGATCCACAACATAGATGAGAGACGTTCTTCTCAAAATTCAGTGGAAAGCATGAAAGAGTAGAGCCATGAAACCACACTTGTCCATAACAGCCATATCACAATGAAATATCTTTGCAGCCATAAAACGCTGAAATATCTTTGAACAGCCTTTGCTCCAACGAAATACACTAAGCTCCTTGAAAACAAAAGTTCCTCAAGATGGTCGCATCTTAAAGATTAAAATTCTGGCTGGGCTGTTATGTACAAGACAGGAGCTGAAACAAGGGCTGAAAAAATAGGTCGCTGAAAAAACCTAACAACCACAGAAAACCCTCCTCATCTTCTCAGCCACCCAAACTAGAAGACTGAAGAACGCCAAGAAATAATAAAGAATAAAAGGAGAAATACACTCTCCTCCATCTCTAATTAGTTACTTAACGAAAAATAAAACTTAAAAACAATAGATTGATCCACCGCTCTTCAATCGAAATTACAAGATGATGTCAAGCGGACTAAGTTGCACATTTTCCCATTATGTTCAGTCCAAGAGTTACAATTTATTTTACCTTGAAGATCTATATCTATTCTGAATAGTTGCATGATCTACATGTGTTCCACTGTATTCACTGAATGTATTGAGTTCAAGGACATTGAAATGCCTCTCCAATTCAATTAACTGATTGGTCAAATCCTGAAACAAGGTAGACATTAACTGTTAAATCCTAGTCACAGAAATCTTTGATCTGTCATATTACTTACAACACCTGATTCAGACTCTGTATATGCTGCTGCTTCAGCTCAAGTTCTGAATTCAACTTCTGCCGATTCCACAGGTCCCAATATTGGCTATCAGAAGCTTGCTTAAAAATCCCTTCCATGTACATCTTTCTTGCCACAACTGTCATATGATAAGATCAACTTTACGCCAGAAATAAAGATCCAGAAAGGAAAAAAGTAAGGGCATACGTAGGCCAATGTATCACCATAAGCTAAGCATCATATTATTTGATTGTTCATAATTCAATGGTCCTACTAGCAGAGCTTGAAAACGGCCGAAAGCTTTTGTGGATTACTCAATCATGTGTTTTGCTGATCAGCATAAACTGATATACGTAATGCTGAGGCACCAAGTCTGCCTTATCAGTCCCGAAAATATAGGGAGAATCATTATGGAGAAAAAACCAGATAGAGTCCAACAAATCAGGAACTATCAAACAAGGCCAAAAAAAGAAGTAGATAACTGCTGAAGAACCAAATAAACAAAGGAAGCATATAAAATCAGCATTGAAGGGAGCACATCCAGGATGTCACATGATTTCAGAGTAAGAATGTGAGAGGAGAAAATTTGGAGGAAGGGTAACAAAAACCTTTCAAAAATTACACACAAATATACCAAGTTTTGATATTTTGCTCCCACTACCACTATGATTTTGACCTCTCAAACACACTATTCAGACCGAACTTGAATACATTCAGCTAGTCTGCTCCTAGCCAGTTGCTTTTATTTTACTCACCAGACAATCACAAATGTTTAACCTCTGCAAATGCGACATTCTTTGAAAAATCCATTATTCTTCACCCACTACAGAACATCAGCCTAAGAGATTCTTCTGCTTCCCTGCATTACTTACTCCAGCCAATTCTCCTTTCACTTCCACTCCACTTCTTCAAACCTATCATCATTGTCCTCGTACCTCACCTCCTCATGTAGGCTCTGCTAAAGTAGCTAATGACTTGCACTCTGCTCCAGTACCAGCTCCAACCTCAGTCCTTCCTTCTATTGAAAGTCCTCCCATTGCTCTTTGAAGGCGTTCAAAGAATGTCTTCCTAGTGGAAGAAAGCCTTTCACCAGCTTTTTGCTCAGGAGGAGTTTGGAAAGACTCATTCACTTCCTAAATCACTTTATGAACTAAAACACTTTGTTTCTGGTCTGGAAAGTTTTGCTTAATTGTTCAGAAGTTTTAGATGGTTCAAACATATGTACTTGATAGTTTATTCAGACAGCATCGTAATTACAGGCAATGATCAAGAAGGCACTGTTCAACTTAAACAACACTTGCTCTCTTCTTTCCAAACTAAAGAATTGAGAAAAATCAGACATGTACCAGGAATTTGCTCAATGTCGCACCAAGCTGCTATATCTCAAGTAAATAAGCTTTAGACATATTGAGCGAGATACATATGCTAGTTTGCAAATCAGTTGATGTTGATCTGAATGTCAAACCAAAAGACAAGAGGAGCCTCTCACAGGTCCTAAAAGATACCAGAGACTACTAGGAAAACTTCATTACCAAACAAATACTCGGGCAGACATCTCATTTATTGAGTGTAGTTGGCCAATTCACTGTCCTGCACCTGCTTTTGCTATATTATGTTGCACTTACTTTTACTTCTTGTATATGTATATAACCAACCATGTATAGAAAAAGATTAGATCAATAAAACATTCAGACCCTCCATTTTTTTTTTTAGTAAACCCTCCAATTTTGACAATACAAGATAATACGTGGAAAAAATAAAACAAAAAGATTAGATTGTGATCTCCAACATGATTGTAGTTTAGGCTTTAAGTTTTGTACTTTTGGCAGCTTTATTTTCATTGTTTGTTTCTGATGGGTTCCAAGATAGGTAGAGAGAGGAGGAAAATCTTTACTAAATATGTAATTAGAATCTGACATTATAAATTAATAAAGATGGAAGAAAAACTCTATTAGAATATGAGCAAGGATCTTAAACTCATGCCACTAATAAAGCCCTATTAGGCAGCTACTAATATCCTTTCCTTCCTATGTTATCCCTTTATCATTACGCATATCATTCATCTAAATCATTCTCATAGGATTCTTACAAACTTAACTCATCACTGTTGGGTATAGGGATAATTTTGAGATATGGGGTGTGAACCATGTCAGTGTGGGTATTTGTGGTATTTTCCATTTGACAGTTAAGGAGAGAGGGCTATACGTTATTGGAAAGGGCATGGTAAATATGGTGAGTGAATTTGGAGAGTTCCTCTGCTTCTCGAATGCATAGAGTAGTGAGTGTTTTCTCTGTTTAGCTTTGCCTCCGTTAGACCTACACTGTCTTTGTGGAGGAGTATTCTGTGATTGAATAATACATATTTCAAAGCCGTGATTCCATCAAAGGTATCAAAGCCGTACAATCCATGGGAATTTGGCTACACTTACTCCTGCTGCAATAGAGCCTGGAGAAGTTCTCAAGGCGTCTAGACGACACAGCGCAACGATTGAAGAGGGTGAAAGAAGAATTTTGTGAGATGCGAACAAAGTTTAGAGATAGAGAACCAAGAGATGACACCTGTTGAGGCAAAGCTACATGGCCTTCATAAGCTTCCAAGTCTGTTAGCTAGATGGTGTGGGAGACATTTTGTGGAACCATTTTAGTGCACTAAGAGGCAATACTATTTGAGCTGACTTTCGTACATGCTGGATTTTACTCACATACCATGAGGAAAAACAAGTTGATTTCACTCAGATGAAGTTAAGGAAGTTCATGTTGAGGTTGAGTCATCGAAGGCTCTGAAATCTCAAGTGGACAAAACTGAATCAGATTCTGAGATCATTGCATTGTGGCTAAGGATGCCATAGTGGCCAACTATGCTGCTGCAAATATAAACCAGAGGAACTAATGAAGTTGGCTGACATATATGGACTACCAGAAGCTAAAAGAGAGGGGCACTGACCTCTGTTTTTTCATGTTCTCAACGGTAGACAAGGCTAACAAAAGCTGCAATGGCAACCAACTCATATGGTTGGTGGATTGGATTCGCAAGCATCTTAGCTGTGATGGAGGTGGACAACAGCAAGGGCAAATCGGTCAATGTATTTAGCAATTGGATGGTCAATTGGTCATGGACATTGTCGGCATCTATAGTGTCCTTGGTTTTGGACCATACATACTTATCTCCAAACATCGAAGTCATTGCAGTGGGATTATGTAGTCTTTTCATTTTTCCTTTGGAAAAGAACAAAAAAGATTTTAGGCTCCATATTTTATAAAATTTGAGACAAGTTTTGTTGTTAATGATTCGTATGTAATATGATTTTCATTTTACCTAGCAATTTTCCTAAATTTAATTGGAGAGGTAACTTAACCAGGCCTCCTTATGGTGCGAAGATGGCCCGAATAATCACCCACCCTGCACAACCTATTAACCAACACCCTGCGCAACCTATTAACCAATGAACGGAGATGTTAAGTACCGAAGAAACGAAGCAATTTTCCTTCAACCTTTATTTAGCAATGTCGGCAACACGCATCTTGGAACTAGTTCAAGCTGCAAATACATGAGCAGAGGTCACTTGTCTCCCTCTTAACACAACCCTTGGAGCTCTGTTTGGTACCCTACACTAATATGTTTGATTTCTCTGGTATGGATTTACCCCTATACGGTCCATGTAAATCTAAGATTAGGGATGGGGGAGTGCTTCTGCCTGTTCATAATGAATATATACAAACAAGAAGAGATTAGAGTATTGGCGGGGCATATGAGGGTGAATAAGCCGAGGCTAACTGAACATTCCAATTTTCCTGGAGCAGAAGCAACAAATTGGACGGGCTTGCTCAAGCTTTTTGGTTTTGTTTTGTTGTGGTATTTTGTTGCCCAATTCCTCAAATTTGTATGCTCATTGTGGTGAGTATCTTATAGTGACTCAAGCTGCGAAAGAAGGGAAGCTTTCCATTGATAAGGACTTCATTGGCATGTCTAATCTATACACTGACATAATGGGAAGGGCAAACAAAGATGGCATGCCCAAAGCATCTAGTCTCTCTAGTATTGATTCAATATGGCTGTTTAGGATTTTCATATTTTTAGGAGAATATACAGGACATGATCAGATTTTTGGGATGAAAACTCTGGACTCCATTTTTCTTTTGGGTCAACTTGAGGACAAGGTGGTTCTTCATGGCCGGGGTAACGTTGGGTATAGGGATAATATTGAGATCAGGAGAGTGAACCATGTGAGCGTGAGTATTTGTGGTATTTTCCATTTGACAGTTAGGAAGAGAGAGAGCTATATAACAGGGGGTCTCATTATTGGAAAGGGCATGGTAAATGTGGTGAGTGAATTGGGAGTTCCTGTGCCTCTAAAATGCATAGGGTACTGAGTGTTTTCTCTGTTTAGCTTTGCCTCCATTAGACCTACACTCTATGGAGGAGTATTTTGTGATTGAATAATACATCTTTCAGAGCTGTGATTCCATCAATCACCTTCAGTATATGAGAAACAATAAGTTTCTTAGATAAAAGATAGAATGCAATAAAGAAACTATCCTATTCAGAAATACCTTGTATGGTCTTATCAAGAAGAGAATGGACCTCCCCAAGTTGTTCAATGACTTGGCACTGCAAAGAGACAAGTCATAATTCAAATCAGTTTTTTCTTATAAAAGAGAGAGGAAAAAAACAACAGAAAGAATGCGTAAATAAACTACACAGATACAACTAGGAAACACTAATGCACTTGGGACGTGTTCCTTAATGATTTACAAAGGAATTGTAATGCTCTTTTCAGCTATCATTCGTTCATGCCAAGAGCTTCATTTTTGCCAGCCCTCTGTTCTAGTATTTCTCACTCCTCTGAGTACGAGAAAAAAATCTATTAAATAAAACAGAAGCCCAGGGACTGTTACACTGCCAAAGTCTCCTCAACCCCAAAAAAAGGGGGGCAGGGGATCAGCAAAATAAAATAGACATCGTCCTAATCATATTGTTCAGAGGATTTTTTAAAACATACATATTCTTATTGTTTCATCTAGCAAGCACTTCATCAACTCAAATCACAGCAGCCAATAGCAGCTGGAAACAAGTACTTATCACTCATTTATTCTAGGGACAGAAAACTTACAGAGGTGAAATCTCAAAATAATACGATAACAAAAATTGCTAATCTTCAAATATACTGTCCAGCATCTCAGCTGCTACTCATTACCATTGCTTTAGAACTGGCTTAATAAGTGGCAAGTAATCAATTAATGTGGTCGCAACGACATCATAAAGGTCTTACTAATCACCAGAATGAATGAACTAAGATGGTTTAAATAACAAGACCATCACTAAAGTTCAATCAGAAATGGTAAAGTCATATACACTAAGCCTTGAAAAATGAAAAGGGAATATAGTGAACAAAGAAAAATTACCATCCATATTTTGCTATTCTCTGACAGAGTGCCCATGCCTTGCTCCAATCGCTCAACTGGACTAACAAGTGACCTGGTGCAAGTATCTGTAAAGCCACCAGCCTCTTCTATTGACCTCAATAGCAGATCCAGCTCTATAGTCATCTCATGAATCTGAGCAGTAGATAGACGGATTAGGCAACATGATAAGTAATTAATTACAGGAAAAATAAATGGCCAATGAATATTCATGAAATCAATGTACTGACCAAGGGGAAAAGAAATACTAGAAGACATAACATTCATACAGGTTAACTAGAATGAGGAGGCAGACTAAGGAATTCAGGATGATACAGTTCTATTGAAGGCATACTCCTTCAAGTTCTACCATATAATGTCTACATGAGAATTATGAATATTTTAAGAAGTAATACATTGCCAAACTGCTTTGACAGGTTCAGTTCAGAAGTCGATATCCCAAGCGTAGAAGCTCTGTGATGCTCTTTGCCACGAAATTTATGAATGGAAGGTTTCTCAACTGCACTATTTTCATTCAATGGAAGTTGTGGGGCACAAAAGGAGAGCATTTCCAAATTTCCTGCTCCTTTTGAAGCTTTTTGTCCCTCATTCTGAACCGATCTACTGGTGTAATTGACAGCATGTAACAAGCTATCTGTATCCAGAACATCAAAAGGCTTGGAACCACGTCTTGGATGATCTTTTACAACGTTAATATTTACATCGCCTGTACAATATATATTTGGATTTTAGAAGCACAGATCTGAAGATTACCCAGTGTTAAAAAATGAAGAAACAACAGCATTTCATTATGTGAAATTTTCACCTGCTGATTGGCGAGAAGAAGATATCTGTGAGTGCCTTGAATTATTTTTGTTAAACAATTCATTAGTCATCTGAGTACTTTCTTGTAAGTTGTTATGACTGGGCAAGACAGAAGGAGTAGGACTTGTCACTCTAAAAGAATCACTGCCACATTCAAGTCCTCTAATTTTTTGGGTTTCAATCCTGCTTCGTTGCTCTAGAGAAGCACTTGATGAAAATTGACCTAGCTTAGTGTTATGCTCCTGTGACATGCATGTATTCTGACCATTAGATTCTTGATTCAGATTTACATTTGGAAGCATTTGCCGCTCATCAGGCTTAAGAGACTGTACGTTTGCCAATGATTTCACTTCTTGGCTCTTCGTGATATCTTCATCAAGTGTTTCTTGACAAGGATCTGCAAATTGCCTGAGTTTTAAATTCCCAGACACCTCTGAAGCCTGCATACAATTTTCATACAAGTTTGATCAACCCCTGGTGGAATGATTCATTTCATATCTAGGAAATTAAGACCCAAATGAACCTGCTCTAATTTTTGTTTCTGCAATCCATGAATAAGAGTAGAACATTCCTCCACAGGAAGCTTTGAAGAGGCATCCTTTTCCTCGTCAGGCACCACAGAAACCACCTCAGCAGAAGCTTCACTCTCTGCAATACTAAAGACAAGGCAAACACAACCTATTGAGTAACCAAAACTACATGGACAAAATAAAGAATCTCGGATCACTGGAACTCCTAATATGCAACTTCTGTTCCCATTCAAAGTAATTAATCATGCGTCCAAGAAAATGGAAGTACATGCGAACAACAAAAGCTGATACCTGGCAACATTGAACATGACAAGCCTTCCATCTAAGGTAAGACATATGAGAACACAACATGGTGTGAGCTCAGTCCTTTCTTCCGTACCAAGTTGAATGCCAACTTTCTGATAGATTGAAACATTATCAATGCATAGCCCCAAGACCAAATTATCATCACCGTTTTCTGGAGGGGGGAAATTGACATGTCAATTTACATTAAAAAAGCCCAAGAAAATATTAACCTTAATCCAAGATATAGCCCTGGAAATAGTCTGAAAGGATCAAGATGCTACATAGTTGACATAAAGTAACACTAGTCTCATGATCAAAACCAGAAGATAATTCCATATTTAATTGAAATGTTAACTTACATTAAAAAAGCCAAAGAAAACATTAATCTTAATCCAAGATATAGCCCTGGAAAGAGTCTGAAAGGATCAGGAGCTACATAGTTGACATAGATTAACACTAGTCTCACGATCAAAACCAGAAGATAATTCTATATTTAATTGAATTAATGAAGTATACAGAACCAAATAAGCTTGCAGCAGAATACCCAAGCTGGCAACGCAAAACAAGAGGAGCAAAATAATGAAGAAATCTAGGAATATAGGAGCTTGAACAAACAACTCCTGCAATCTGGATAATAAGATTGAAAAACAGAAAAATAACAACTGTTACGGGATACGGCCCAAAATTCCACATCTCATGGTCCTCCATTCCTCCTCAAGCTCAAGAGTAACGTTCAGAATTCTCAACTTGCTACTTAGTTCCGCAAATTTTGTTCCTGACAAAGCTTTAGTGAGCAGGTCTATATCTTACATGCTGGTAGGCTTGCAAGCCAAATCAATTAAACTTGAGTCGATCCTGTCTTTTATTAAGTAACAATCTATTTTAACATGCTTGGCTCTATCTTGGCGGATGCGATTCTTACCAATGCCTGTAGTTGCACACTATCAACCCACAACTACATTGTTGGCGATGCACCAAGCTTCATTTCTGTTAACAATCCCTTCATCCATGTTCCTTCACAAATTTTCAAAGCCAAGCTTGATATTTAGATTCTACACTACTTCTAGCTACAACTAGCTGTTTCTTGTTCCAAGTAACAAAATTTCCCCAGACAAATGTACAATACCTCGCTGTATGCCTTCTATCTATAACTGAACCAATCCAATCAGCATGAAGGAACACTTCAACACCTCCTGATCTTTCCTTCTCAAAGAACAATCCCTTGGTGTCATTTAGAGGCATCTGAGAATTCTGATTATTGCTTCCATGGGCTCCTCTTGGGGCTTAATCATAAACGGAATTATTATACTCACTGGGAAGCTAATATCAAGATTTATGAGATAAACATATTAGATTCTTTACTAGCATCTCATATCTTCTGGCTTGTGTTTTGGTCGATTGTTGGCATAGATTAACTCATGAATGTACTTGTGACAAATATTAAGTATGTGTTGTGCAATGTGGTACCCGAATCTATACAGCACTTGTTTTTTGAGTGTACCTGTATGGGGGAAGTTTTGAAATGATGTTGAACTGATTGCAAGTGAGGAAATTTTCTCACAGGTTTAATAGATGGACAACTATGATTTTATTCATTTGGAAGCATAGCTGGCTTTAAAAGATTACTGATGTTTGCTTTCTGCTCAGTGGACTGACAGTAATGCTAGGAGCTTTAGATACGTAAAAAAAATTACCTGATAGTATCTTTCAGCAAATTTGAATGGAGATTCAATAGGAGAGTGCAAGGTTGCTGTCATGGAAAGATTTCTCCTGCTAAGAAAAATTGTTCTCGATTTGTGCAGAATTTTTGTAGAGATGAACGAACTTTGTTTGGTTTAAATGTGCATTTGGTTATGGTCTTTATGGGAGTAGATAGGGACATGAAGCCTCAACTGAAAGTGGCATGACTATGATCTAGTTCTCCTTAAAACTCTTATGTATATGGTTTGGCGATTAGCATGTTTCTTAGAGTTTGCTTTATAATAGTAATAATTTGAAAAAAGAAAAAAAAAAATCTGCTCCAACTTAATGGGGAGTGTCAACAATATCTTATACATAACTGTATATTTTGTAATTAATATAGAAGCATATCTCTAAATATGATTGAAGGAAGGCAATATCAACACCACTTCTAAGCATAGTAGCAAAAGAACTCAAGAAAATTGATTGAGCATATTTAATAATGACTTATGCTGAAGAAAATGCATAGTGCCTTCTCAAATAGGCAATAACATACCTTGAAGCTCAATTCTTGGAACCCAATTGTCACGATCAATATCAACAACCACAGCTTCACTCTTATCATCATCTGCAGACCAACCAAGCAACATAATGTGCTGATCCGTATTTTTCCTGTTAGCATTGATTGCAAGCTGGCTGCAGGTATTGATAAAATTAAAAAAAATTCATTAGTCCAAGATTGCAGAAAGCAAAAATACTTAACTGTGAACCCAATGATGACTGATGAGCAGTGAACACACTTTAAAGGAGGAAGTCAACTTTTATTGATGAAATGAATTAAACCATTTTTTAAAATTTGTAACTATTCAAAAGGCAAAAATTCATGACTAAGAAGAATATTAGGAATAAAGTCACTAATACGGAAAACCATTGATTTGATGAAATTTTGTAGCTATGCGACCATTGGGTAGATTAGTGTAGAAATAACTCGTTCAACAATAGATAAAGAGCATAGGCATAACAAAGATTTATACTTTGATGGTGATTCTGCAACCAATTTGTTGAGTTCTAAATTTGCATATGATTTTAGCACAAGTTCCCAAACAAAGGAATATCATGAGGCACATTTTGAAGTTGGTTCTATTTGTTAACTGTTAATGGCTAATAAAGAGGGTAACCCTTGCAAGAAATACTTTTAAAACAACACAAATGCATACGCTCAATTTTTTTAATCTAATTGAGTGTGAAGTTCCTCAAAAGAGGAAAGTAAGCAAGGGAGTCATGCAATTCTAGACGCAGCAAGTATATCTTCAAGCTCTGAAAAGCACCTAACCACATTTTGGGGTAGCCAACTCTTATCCATCAAAACGTTAAAGTTCTCAGGGATAATTTCTCACACTGTAGATTTACTTGTGCATCCTTAGGTCTTCAATACTAGATAACCTGTTGGTGTTGGAAATAAGCCTTGAAAGATTAAAGTCCCACGTCTAAAAGTGATTAAAATGATTAGAGACATCTAAGATTGTGGCAATTCAAATCAAGTAACTTAAGCTATCTTGGCAAAACGGACAAGACAAAGTACCAGCTCATTTGGGTACTGGATATATAGTGGTGATGGACTAAGCTTCACTTCATTAGGATTCAAACAGGGGGGAAAAAAAATTAATATGGTATTGCAGCAAAAGGTGCCAAACTGCAGTAAGATTTGAGACCACAAAAAGAAAATTTTGCTGGACCTAGGGCTGCAAGCCCATATAAAACAACAACCAAACCTTATCCCATTAGGTGGAGTCAGCTGCATGAATCGCACAATGCCATTGAGCTCTATCAAAGACCCAATCTTTGGATATATTGTTAATTAAAAGTTCTCGCTCAATAACTTCAATAAGTGTTCCTTTTGGTCTTCCTCTGCCCCTTTTTAGAAGGCCCTATATTGTTTGATCAACCATTTTCACCGGCACTTCCAAAGGCCTTCTTTGAACGTGACCAAACCATCTGAAATGATTTTCTATCATTTTCTCTCCAATAGTAGCCACTCCAACTTTTCCGCGTACAAGTTCGTTACAAATCCTATCTTTTCTTATATGACCATACATCCATCTCAACATTCTCATCTCAACTACTCCTACTTTATACTCAAGCTGTCTCTTTAAAGCCCAATATTCACTACCATATAACAGTGTGGTAAAACTTTCTCTTAACCTTATTAGAATAATGCCAAAAAAATGGAAGTTGCGACTTGCAGCCTAAGGCTCAAAGAACACAACCCTAGGCAAATTGAATCGGATTGAGCATATGAAAGCTAGACACTAAAGAAATGATGAGCTAGTCAATGACATTTCCAAATTTAAGGAAAGAACGAGCAATGAAGAATAAGACCCAAGGGCTAAGTAAAGTGATAGCTAGACTCCCAAAAAAAAGTGAGCCAAGACCAATCACATCCGAGAAGTGTTAGAGATAAGCCTTGAAAGAGAGAAATTCACATCTAAAAGTAATAAGAAAAACGAAAGGCAAATAACAACGAGGCAATCTTAATTGCATCACTTAAGATATTTTTTTTTTTTTAATTCCCAATGGAAAATAGCTTAGGCAAGTTTGTTGAAATGGACTAAGCCCAGCCACAAGTTCACTTGGATGCTAAATTAGTAGTCATGACAGTTTGAGTTCCCCTACCCAAACAAAAAAAATCAACATTTATTATGATGATCATATATCCATTGATTTTGACTATCATCTTAAATTCTTAGTCTCCTAATTTTATTATTCGATTTATTATCTCATATAAATGAACTTTATCTTCTCTACAAATGCTACGGGATTCTAAAGGCAAATTTGCTCCCACAGTCGCAAGAAATATTCTTCCATTTCATTCAGATAAAGTAAGCCATTCAAATCATTTTTTATTATCAAAATCTAATAATATCAGAGCTTAATCATGCGCATATAGGACAACAGGCATAGTTTCTTGTTCATCCCAAGCACAACCCAATTGAGGTTCGGGATCAGGCACTGCCCTTGCTCCTTTGTTACCAAGATGGATGACAACATGTGGTAGGATCCAGCACAGATAAAGAGAAACAAAGAAGAAAAGTCTATTAAATTATGAGATCAGAATTTAATTCCAGAAATTAATAAAGGCGGAAGAAAAATCTCCATTAGAATATGGATCCTATCAACAACAATGTGGATCCTTATTTGATTCTTAAAATCTCCCATTAAATAATCTAAATAAACTATTTAAAGAAACTAGATCTCACAAATTCTAACTGAGATATTTATAAATATAATATCTCTATTATTTGTAAAAAAAAACAAAAAGAAATAATAATAGTAAACTGATCCATTAACTCCATCCACAATCCCATGATATCTGGTACCCTATCAACATGTTTATAAGAACTATGTCTAAAACAAGATATATGTATTGAATTTACACATTCAAAACTACCAAAACTTTATGACAAGGAAAATGTCTTACCATTGATTTAGGTAGGCCAGTAACAGGTGTGGTCCACATTTAATGGGCACAATGTCGTCAACTAGTCCTTGATAAATATCATAGAAGGATTGCACAATTAATTGAGAATGAGCCTGCAAGAAGAAATCCAAATTTAGAGTTCTATACCACATCAATTCAAACAGATGGAGCCTTCATTAGGTACACTACACTCCCTTCTTGCATTTCCAAACCATACAGAAAAGCAGGCAAAAAGAGGGGGAAAGCAATGCATAAAATTGACAATATAAAATCAAAAACAAAAGTTAAGTGCACAAATCAACCAGATCTCCATGGACTGTGTTCCAAGAATTTCCCATTAAGTTTTGTTTCATCGAACCTGGTTTGTAATCTGTTGATGAAATGGAGAAGGTGAAATAAGGAGGGAAAGAATCAATATTTTTAAGTTGTGGGCATTTCGTCTTTCCAATTTTATTTTTATTGCATTACATATAAAAAGGAATTTCATTCCAATATTTTCAATGTCATACGAAGCAAATTCATGGTAATTAACATTCCATTGGGACCCATTCCATTCCCTTTCTGTATGTCATTACCCATTCTAAGTACCAAAGAGTCCTTAACCTTGACAACTTTGCAAATCCTTTCCTTGACCCAAACCCAAAGATACCTTATACAGGCTCAAACAGCCTTGAACCCAAGAAGCAAAACCAAATCCCTGAAACAGACCCACATGCAACCTGACACATTAAACCAAAGGCATGTCTTACTGCCATACAGTAAAAGAATATACCAGAGCATAAAAAGGAAAATTCAACCGCTAATAGTGACAGAACAGCAGGGCAAAGCAATGTTACTAAACAGCACAAAAGTGATTGCACGAACCAAGCAAAGTCCGTCAACTTCCCTTAATCCAAGTTCTGAAGACTTGGAAGTTTCTGTGCCCCAAAAAAGTTTTAAGGAGCTGGATGGAACACTATTAATAATTTTGTTGCATATGACGACAGATCTCAACATCTGATATTTGTCCAAAGAAAGATTGACTGCAAGTTGAAACCTATGCAGGAAAGTTCACTGGTTGACAGGCAGAGATATCAAAGACTTGTACGATGGAGATGGTAAATAAGAACCATCATGATCATAGAATATTTTTTTTAAAAACAAAAATCATCTTCAAGGGGCTTATTCTTCGACAAGAATGAACATGTGAGCATTGAAGTGTACTCAAATGCTGACAGGGATATGTTAGTGACTGTAAGAGGGAAATTACAAGCAACTCTAAATTTGGTCGGGCAAATTGCATGGAGGAATATGTAGCAGCACACAGCTGCATGGACTAGTGCTAAACCAGATTTTCATGCTTTAGCACTTCAAATTTGTTGATGAAACTTCTCAAGTAACTTAGTGTTGCTGTACCTACGAAAGTATTTCGTGATAACACGGTGAGTATCAAGATTGTTAAAAATCCTATTCATCCTTATAGGATTAAAAATGCGGAAGATGACCACCATTTAATCAAAGGTTGATTCTAGCCTACATGAGTTATGTTCATACTAGTGCTCAAGAAGAGTGAACTAACAAGCTGAGAATGATTAACATCTACTCCTCAGTCCTGAACTCAAGGAGTGTTGAAAGTTGATCCTTTAAGAGACCTGATTGATGTTTTCACCAACTTTATCAATAACAACAGCAACAAGCCTTAGCACACTACATGAGGTTATTTACACAGATCACATTACACCATTGTATTGTATTATATCAACAACAGGCACTTAATTTAATTTAGTTAATATTTTATTTGTTCAGCTTTTATTTCCTTGTCTTTTAAATAAATTGCATAAGGATTACTTCAACTGAAACTTCCCCAGTATCTAGGAATTGATTGAACTCTGAGTAACAGACTTGTAGTTAACCAATTAAATCAGTGCATATTTGGATGCCTAGTAATGATAATACTAAAAGAGAAAAATCAACAAAGGATGAGGCTAAGGCTGAGTTACGTTACCATGATCTACAGCTAAATACAAATCAAATTTATTTAACCAGAAAGCAAACAATATGAGCGTTTAAGATTAATGCATGTGTCTGATGATCTTGCAAACTTCCTAAGGAATAAACAATAAGTAATCATAAATGACAGTAAAATAAACACAATCTTGGGAAACTCATCATGATTATTAAATAGCGGAAGCACAAATCTTGAAATTACATCAATGATTTCACCAGCTCTACTTTGTATGACTTGAAGCAGATAATTTTCCTCCTTTCCATCTCCAGCAAGTTGAAAGGATCCAATAACAATCGAATCAGGTCGAACCCACTTGATAGAATCGACTGGCACAATTATTATAAAGAAAACCAATAAGTCTGATAAGATCACAAAAGGTGAATAAATGAAGACACCAAAATTCAAGCATAAGACAATACTAGAAGCTTCCAATTAAATGTTCCAGATCTACTAACAAGCTCTCAGCACAGTTAAGATTGATTCCAATAACTTCACCCGTTCATCACAGCTAATTTAGCCTAGTCATCCCATCGAAGGACTACTATGATGATGCAATCAGATTTATAATTAAATACTGACAATATGATGCTAAACTCATGGTGATATTACGCATGTATTCTTCATTACATACGTTGTTTTAGGTTAAACAAATAGCAAAGTAATTATGTGAGGATAGAAGACGATATACCAAAAAGGGGGATGAGGTATCTTCTGAAGAATTAAAAAAAAAAAAAGGCCAAAAAAATTGAAGAGCCTATTTGATTTTTTTTGTTTTTTTAAGGGCCATGGAGAGTCCTGTTAACATGAATTCAAAAACGAATTTTGAAACCAAGAAAACAAATATTTGCTTTAAAAACACTTCAGTAAAAATTATAATAATGCCATTGGTGAAAACTGTTCTCCCACAGTGCCATTGTTTTCTTGTATTTTTGAAAAATAAGAACCCAAAAAACAAAAAAAAAAAGGTTGAGCTTTGCGGCCATTAGATGTATTTAAGGTTCTCACTCATTGTAGGTGCAAATTTCAAAATAGAACATCTAATGGTGAAAAAGTTCAACCTCTAGTGTTGGGCTCTCCATAGCATAAACCTATCAAAAATAGGATACCCCACTTTGCGAGAAAGTGGAATCCATTCAACCAGGGAACAGTATTTATAAGGCAAGGCAACAGGCCTGATGTCCATCTTAAAATCATTAGCAGACATCCATCAAGAAAGCTGATATGCAATTGTAAATAAGACCTCACGGTAGTTAAGTCATCTTATTATGATTAAAAGGGCTAGAGTAATCAAAATTAGGATTAGATATTATTAGATAATAGAAAATATTATAAGATATTAGGATTAGATGGGCCATGAGTAGAATAAAACTGCCAGTAAAGTATCACGTTATGGTGCATGTAGCAAGGATCAAAGAAGAACTAGCAGGGATCAAAGAAGAGCTCGCCAGGCAGCTCATAAAGGAAAAAAAGGTCTGCTGATCAAGAAGGCCTAACAGCACTTCAAAGAAGTGGTGGGCCTTGTTAGACCAACACCCAAGGAGCGTATAACAAAATTGCAAGAGATACAGAATCTCAGTAAGACGGGTAACAGAATCTCATGAGTGACAACAAATCTGTTCAAAGTAGCAGGGTGGGTGTGACGGAAAATGAAAAGAAGCCCCTTGATTCTTTTCAATGCAACTTGAATAGGACAACTCAAACAATTTCATTTGCCTCTATTAATGACTCATAAGTGTTGTCTCATACTTCAAACAGGTGGTTAGAAAACACCAAGGCTGTCGCCCACACACAAGAGGATTGCTTTGCATGAAACATACAAAGAGAAGTGACGGAAACAGAGTCTAGAATTCATGGATTGTCCAGTCTCAACTATTTTGAGCGGTTTGAGTGTGTGGCGTAACATGTCTTCAATCTTGGCACTATAGACACCCATATTCTTGAGTTTTTGGCACAGATTTAGTTCAAAGGGCAGATTTAGTTCAAAGGGAGGTCAATTAAAATGCTTCTTGGCTCTAGTTCAGTACTGTTCTCTGTATCTAGGGAGGGGTTACTGATTGATATGTAATTGTAAAGAAGTCGTTAAATAATTAAGATTATGATTAGATGATATTAGATAACATTAGGATTAGATATTAGGATTTGGATCAAATATTTATCTTATTAAATGGATGTTTAATAGAATCCTAACTTATCAAAGGAGAAGAAATAAGGAAGAATCTTGACCAAGTCTTTTTCAGATTTAATTTCCATTAATTTTGAATATTTCAGAGTTGTTAGCTGAATAATAGGGCTCTTTTAAACGATCTTTGAGTCCACTAGGTCCACTTAGCTTGATTGGATTCTGTTTTGATGTTATCCTGATGAAATAGGGATATTTTGTTATTTCCCTTATTTCCTTATTGTATCTTGCTTATGCTAGCCTCTATTCAAGCTAGTCATATGAGTGAATAAACATTATTTCAGCATATCAGGAGATTCTCCGAGTGGCTACTGTGTGTGAGCAAGTGAGCACTTACTTGTGAGGTCTAGTGGAGACTTTGTCTTAGCTTATTAATTTTCTATCCACCTCAGCTCTTACCATTTGATATCAGAGCCATGGTTGAGACACGTGCCTCCCGTAACACTAATCCAAACGAAGAAAACCCATTTGCTGGGGACTCGTTAGCAGCCATAGCTTTAAGACTCGAAACCTTGGATACTTTGGCTAAGAAGGTTGCAGCGTTAGAACACATGTCCGCTCCGGGTACCTATGGCAGAGGCAGGCAACGCTAGAGGATTCAGATACCTATAGTAGGGGGCGAAGACCTACACACACCAAAGTTGAATTTCCAAAATTCAGTAGAGGCAATCCAAGAGGATGGATCCTCAAGTTTTGAACTGTGCCCAACTATAAGCAAGAGTTCGCTAGGAGGGTAATGCAAGTTTTGAACCAGCCAAATCATTGTCTCCTGGCAATCTTCATCAACAACTTAAAGGATGAGTTGAAATCTGATGTCTGCATTATGAAACCAAGAACAGTATATCATGCTGCAAGTTTAGCCCTGGAATATGAGAAAAAGATATCGTTAGCAAATAGGGCCAAGTCCAATTCTTTCAAGGGCTGAGTCGCACCCCGCAATCCACTTACCAGGGCCAAACATCACGTGAAAAAGCCTGATTATTTCTTCCCAGCCAGCACGCAACGTGTATTAGGGGGCATCTTCTTCATCGACGCAAATCAACGGAGCATCATCATCAACTCTTCTGAAGAACAATTCCTGGGACGTCGTGCGACAACAATAGGGAGACAAGGGGTTGTGCTTTCACTGTGGAGAAAACTTCAAACCGGGGCACTGTTGTCCCTCTTCTTTCGCGTTAATGAAGATAGATGAACAGGGAACCCAGTACCTAAGATACTGGAGGTTGTGGAGGAAAAAAATGAACTAGAGGAAGCCGAGGTATCATTTAATGCAATCTTATGCCTATCCACTGCTGGCATGATAAAGCTCTATGGTTCAATTCTTGATCGAAGCATCTTACTCTTAGTAGACAACAGCTCCACCCACAATTTCATCTCAGAGTCATTAGTGACAAAAGTAAACTTGCCTACCAGCATTGTTCCTACCTTCAACGTCCAGATTGGTGATGGCCGAATGGTTTGTTGTAACCTCATATGTAAGGATATTGAAGTAAGGCTTCCAGGTTTGACATAGAAACAAGACTTTTATCCTTTGTCTTTGGCTGGTTCTGATTTAGCTTTGGGCATTAAATGGCTTGCTTCTCTGAATACTATCCAAGCCAACTGGAATCATATGTTTTTAATTTTTTAGCTTGATGGGAAGAGGTATAAGTTGTAGGCAATATCTCATTCAAACTAGAATGCTGAGCTTCAGTCTATGCTGTTCGATTCTAAACTCAAATTGGGTGCCTACAATGCTGGGTCTCTAAATTTGGACGAGCTCATCGTTGAATTTGATGCTATTTTTGACGAACCGAAGGTGTTACCATCATTCAAGGAGCATCACCATAACATTCCCTTACTGCCCGATTCCCGACCACCAAATTTAAGGCCATATCGTTATCCTTGTTTTCAAAAGAACAAAATTGAAAGAGAGGTAGAAGAACTCTTACATAAAGGGTTTGTTTGGCCTAGCTCAAGTCCCTTTGCCAGTCCGGTTCTACTAGCAAAGAAAAAGAATGACATGTGACGCATGTGCATTGATTACTGAGCCCTTAATAAGATCACTGCCCTTAATAAGATCACTATACCTCACAAATGTCCCATTCCCAACATTGATGAGTTATTGGACGAATTACATGAAGCATCTCATTGTTCCAAAATCGACCTACGCTCTGGATATCATCAAATCAGGGTATTGGAGGCTGACATTCACAAAAGGGCCTTTATAACACATAACGGCCATTATGAATTTGTGGCAATGTCTGTTGGCCTTACCAATGCTCTTGCTACTTTCCAATCTGCTATGAATGATCTCTTCAGGCCATACCGTAGAAAATTTGTGCTCATCTTCTTGGATGACATCCTAGCATATAGTCCATCACCTCAGCAACATGAGCAATACCTCATCATGGTTTTTTAAACCCTGCAGCAACATTCATGTTTCGCCAATTTCAAGAAGTGTGAATTGGGGGCAGTCTCAAGTGTCTTTTCTGGGACACTAGGTTTTAGCTCAAGGGGTTGAAACAGATTATGATAAGATTGACACAATTTGAGAATGGCCAATACCTGCCAATGTTAGAGAGCTCCATGGGTTCTTAGCACTCGCCGACTACTACCAAAGGTCTATTAAGAATTATAGTATGATTGCTCGTCCTCTTACTGAGTTAACTAAGAAGAATGCTTTTGTCTAGTCACCTGCTGCTCAAAGAGCTTTTGAAAAACTCAAATTATCCTTAATGTCTGCACCTGTGCTTAAACTTTTAGATTTTAATTTTGAGTTTACTGTTGAGTGTGATGCCTCTATGGAGGGTGTCAGTGCCATTCTTATGCAAGAACACCACCTTATTGCTTTTTACAGCAAAGGATTCTCATTTTCAAATAGATACCAGTCTACTTATGACCAAGAATTGTTAGCATTAGTGCAGGCTTTGCAAAAATGGCAACATTATCTGCTAGGGCATCACTTTATAGTGAAAACAAATCATCACAGCCTCAAACACCTGCCTGACCAGCGTGTTCTCACTAATAATCAGTAGCACCTCATCCTAAAGCTCCTTCCATTTGATCTCTCAATTATTTACAAAGCTGGGAAGGAGAATGTGGGGGCTGATGCACTTTCACGGATGCCTCAACATGCTGACTTCCTTCACTAAGTGGTACCTATTCCAATGGAATTTTTAGAATTAAAAGAAGCTTTATCAATTGACGCTTCCACCGGTCCCATCATTGCTTCCTTGAAGGAAGATCCTAATACCAAACCAGGTCATACACTGGTAGATGGGAAACTGTTTTTAAATGAGCGTCTTGTGGTTCCTAGGAGTTCATCACTTCACACCAAGTTACTAGAAGAGGCGCATATTACTCCTGCTGGCGGTCATGGAGAATTTTTGAAAACCTTGGAGTGCTTGACAGGTACAATCTATTGGCCCCAAATAAAAACTAATGTTAAAACCTTTATTCAACAATGCTTTACCTGTCAACGAAATAAGTATGAGACTTTATCCCTTGCTGGTCTCTTGCAACCCATTCCTGCACTTGAACAAGTTTGGGAGGATATCTCCATGAACTTCATTGTTAGGTTGCCTAAATCGGGTTCCTATGACGCGATCCTGGTCACAGTGGATCGCCTAAGCAAATACTGTCACTTCATTCCTTCACTGCATCCTTGTATTGCAAAATCCGTTGCTGCTTGTTTTTGTGAAGAGGTTATCCGTTTGCATGGTATGCCTCAGTCAATCATTTCAGACCAAGATCCTCTTTTCCTAAGCAGCCTCTAGCAAGAGTTATTCAAACTGAGCCAAACCCGTTTAAGGATGAGCACCTCTTATAATCCTCAACTGAATGGACAAAATGTAATCATCAACCGTTGCTTGGAAGCTTATCTAAGGTGCTTTCCTCATGAACCACCACGCTCCTATAGTAAATTTCTATGTTGGGCAGAATATTCATTTAATACTAGCTTCCATATCTCTACTAATACTACACCTTTCATAGTAGTATATGGTAGGGATCCACCTACCATTCATCCATTCACCAAAGGGGAAACACATATTGCTGAGCTTGCTGATCAACTTGAGACCTGAGATCATATGTTGCGCCTACTTCGTGCTAGTTTGAAGAAAGCTCAGGACCTAATGGAGTCCTATGCTAATTCACACTATCGAGAGCTTGAGTTTAACATTAGGGATGGAGTTTTCCTTCACATACAACCCTTCAAACAGCATTCTCTTGCTCATATAAAGTATTCCAAGCTTTCCCCACAATTCTTCGAGCCCTGTAAGGTTATTAGAAAAGTGGGACCTGTTGCATATGAACTTGAGCTTCCTGTTACAGGTAGAACCCACCCTGTTTTTCATGTCTCCTTGCTACAACCGGCCCATGGCCAACCCCCAACCAATCCTCCTGCTGAATTACCACTTTCCTATGATTTTGAGCTATTATTAGAAGCTCAAAAAGTACTGGCACATCACTGGAAGGGATGCTATTAGAATTAATAATCCGATGGAAGTCAAGACCTTCAGAAGAATCAAGTTGGTTGGGAGGATTACGACCTTCTTGAGCAGCAATTTCCTATTTTCCACCTTGAGGAAAAGTCAGTTTTCAGAGGGGGGAGTAATGATAGAATCCTAGCTTATCAAAGGAGAAGAAATAGGGAAGAATCTTGACCAAGTCTTTTCAGGTTTAATTTCCATTAATTTGAATATTTCAAAGTTGCTAGCTGAATAATAGGGCTCTTTTAAACGATCTCTGAATTCTGTTTTTGATGTTATCCCAGTAAAGTAGGGATATTTTGTTATTTCCTTGATTTCCTCATTGCATCTTGCTTATAAATATGCTAGCTGCTGGTCAAGCTAGTCATACGAGTGAATAAACATTACTTCAGTATATCCGGAGATTCTCCGAGTGGCTACCGTGAGTGAGCGAGTGAAATACTTACTTGTGAGGTCCAGTGGAGAGTTTATCTTAGCTAATAACTTTCTGTCCACCTCAGTTCTTGCCGGTGTTTGGACTAGTTTATAAGTAATTTTGCGCAGCATGAGGTAAGTATGCAAAGGAGTTGTCTTGTAAAGCCCAAAAGACCTTTTTTAATTGATTATGGGGTAAAACAAACACTACCTAAGATAAGTTAGGTAGTTAAGGATTTGAAACATGGGATTGATGACTAGCCTCATTTATAAGTCATGGGTAATCCTAATCCTACTTATCTTGACTTCCTGAGTTATTTAGTGTACTTTTAGTTTCTCTTCACTCCTTATTCTTCTCTCTTTTCGTTTCTCTTCTACAATTCTCTATCAAATGCCATAAAAATAATCCTCTCCCAAAGAAGATGTGACAGGAGAAACTTGTGATAAAAACTTTCCCTTAAACCCATGTGCAAAGCTCCAAATGAAAGCCATGTAAAGAATTCAATCCCATAAAATATGAAGAAGCCAAAAGCGTCCCCAAAGATGCAGGATGTCCTTGCCAAAGCACGCAAATCAACACATCCCATAAATTTTAGATGTGGCAGGATTTATTGTTTTACGATTATTTTCTGGACTATTTCTATTTTGAATTATTTTAGAAGCCAGCTATGGAATAAGTGGACTGTTAGGAAGGTTCACCAACGTTCACTTCTGTTTTGAGTTTGTTTCAGGTACTATAGGGATTTTCAGATTTCATTATCGGTGTAATTCTTCTCTATAAATATCCTAGCGACTTCCTATGCTAGGCAGGCTTTGAGAAATAATAGAATTCTTCTGACTCAATTGGAGATCCTCATTTTGTTGGCTATTGCAACTGTGTAGGGTGAAAAACTTCCTTTACATATTCTTAATAGATATTGATCCCTTAGTTTCTGACAAGAGCGCACTTATCAGGCTGACTATTAGAGAGTTGTGAGTTAGATCCTTACCTCAGCTTCCTAGCAGATTATTTTTAGACTTCTAACTTTCTAGTACTTGGTTCTCAACAACATGGTCATACTGATACTTCGGTTGTATTTACTGGGGGCAAAAAAATACGGATATTTTATAAAAGTCTGTCAATTATTAAATCCCACATAGGGTTGTCGCATGCACGCATGTGCCGCCACCCATGATATGAACAATAGTGAGATTGAAATTTGTTCTTCAAACATGGCAACAAATGTTTAAAACATCCAATCTTGTGACAGCTACACATTTACATATGGCAGACAAATGAAATGCAAACCTTTTACATGGCAGCTTTCGCCAGAATCACCAGTCCATGATCTGAATGATAATGAGATTGAAATCTGTTCTTCAAAATCGGCTGACAAAATGCTAATAACATTCATTCTGGCAACAGCAACAGATTTGCCTTCTGCACTCCATTCAACTTTTGGAAAGGCAAATAAAGAAATAAAACAAACATCAGAGAAAGCTATAATTAATTATTTTTCTTCAAAACAGAGATAGAACAAAGAAAAAACAAGTTGCAGCAAAGATTAATGACGCACACGGTAAGTGCTATAAATATATGGTTAAGTGATTCCTATACTAGATATCCACTATTAACAACAAGGCTATTTAGAATCCAGGAGAATAGGACTGTGAAATCCTCAAGAACTTATCCATTATACCATGGCATCCTACCAACGAGAGAGGTGAGGGGTAAGCTTGGAAATTTGGGACAGAATCAACCTTAGAGTAGTCTTAGTAAGTAATAAATCCAAATCACATGAGCAAAATCATCAATGAAAGACCTAAACCATCAAGATCTGGTAATATCAAGAACATTCAAGGGACCCCAGATATCATTATGAAAGGACCATAGGTTTTTTTTCTTTCTTTCTTTCCTTTTTTTTTTTTTTAATACTATTAACGGGAAATAAAGAGCATCTGTTTTTAGCAAAACCATAGACATCACAATGAAAAGACTCAACGGCTAAATCTTTGGGCAAAGAAGGGAACATTATTTTGATAACATTAAGAGAAAGATGGCCAAGGCAGTGATGATAGTGCCAACTCTAGTCGTTATTTTGAACTTATATCTTTGGAGTAAAAGAAGGAAGATAACAAACGCTAACATATCCACTATATCTATGAAGGTAGTAAAGCCCATCTCTTTCCTAAATGCCTAATCATCCATCTCATGTTATGTTGCTAAAAAGATAAGACAGAACACTGCAGAGCAAAGAAAACAGGTCATCAAAAAAAAAAAAAAAGGCTCTAATCACACGGGATTGGCCAATCAAATATTTTTTTAAACTAGTGGTTGGGTGTTTTGGCAAGCATGAGGATGAGATAATAGGGTCATACTAGCAATGAAAACCACGAACAAGGTGGCAAAAAGGCAAGAAAGGCAAATGGAAAAACTGATCAAACAACTAAAGGATCACAAGGCTCTAATACCATGACATCATGGTGATATGAAAATATTTTCTAACCATTTATAACGAAGAAATTACACAGTACATACAAATATGTGAGGAAGCAATTCTAGGAGCTATTCTATAAAAAATTTTAAGTGAATGTAAATGCAAATATCTACAATTAATGCAAGGATTATAACCCCATGATCCTGAAGAAGAAATAGTTACAAAGAATATTTCACGATTAATTACAATAATTGCAATATATTTTAACACAATACACTAAAAGCATTGTCCTGCCTCCCCATCAAAACAATGCAAACCAAAAAAGGGTAATTATAGATGCCACTATATAAAGCAAACTGAAAAGTAACCTTCCATGACAATAGATCATCAACAATCAATTGACGCTCAAACCCTTGAAATCAATAAATACGAAATATAAATCATTACTAATACAAGGGGAACACTAGAATTACAAGAGGAGTTTTAAAACTAAAATAAGCATACCTGCATCAACATTGCCCATCACCTCTTTAAGGGGCAAACCAACTTCTCCATAATATAGGTTCCCCACATTTGAAAGAACGGTAAAAGAATTTTCTGATGTTTTTTTCCAACGCATATCTTTAACATAGCTCGGGTCATTGAGCGAACAGGAAAATGACTGCTTTACATCCTGAAAATTGACAAGTTGACAAGGGAAGAAAAACCCACAAAAACCGGTGACCATGTCAAACATATATATAATACTAATTTAAACGACTACTAACCCTGATAATATTGATCATATCTGGGAGAAAGAACTGAAATTTTATTATAGAGATGGATACATCACAAAGATGAAGGATGAGATACAAATGATGCACCAACGCCAAGGCATCTTAGTATTGGTTTAATTTTGGCTTCTTGTTTTATTATAATAACCCACAAGGGAAGCTATGCAAGTCACTAATCACCTAATTCTCAGTCCAAAAGATTCAAGAAGGTTGTGAAACAATTGTGGTACACTCAACATCGAAATATACATGCTATTGGTGAACCTTACAAGTAGAAAGACAGTAGTACTTATGGTTTATGTAAATGACATAGCCTGAACTGGAGACAGCGTTGAAGATAAACCACTTATAAAAATCCTTGGCTAGTGAGTTTGATGTGAAAGACATCAAGAGACTTGGAAATTCTCTTGCGATAAAGGTAGGTAGATCACACAAGGGAATCATTGTACCCTAAAGAAAATATGTTAGACGCATTGAAAGAAACTAGGATGCTAAGCAACACTGGCAGAAACTCAATGGCGGTTACTTTGAAAGAAAACCTGAAGCAAGAAGCTCTAGTATACACCAAAAGACATGACACTTGTAGGAAAGTTAATGCTTCTCTCATACCTTAAACAGTATATTTCCCAACAAGTAAAGGTAAGTCAATTCATGTGCAATCCACGAGAACACATAGAGGGACTACACAAAATATTCAAATACTTGAAAATTACTAGGAAAACGGCTATCTTTTGAGAGGGTAAGAACTGGAAGTATTGGAGTATATACTAACTTCCATTATTGATAGAAGATCTACTACTAGGTATTGTACCTTTCTACAAGGTAATCTAGTGGCTTGGCCAAGTAACAAGCACATTATAGTGGGAGTTGGGAAGGAGTAGTGCTGAAGGTGAATAAAGAACTTAAGCAGTGGAAATAAGTGAAATAATGTGGATACTACAGCTACAAACACCTAAATATTGAGGTTCTTGCTCCTATGGAAGTGTGGCGCGACAACATGGCCATGATAGGCATTGCCAAGAACCCTATGGTCCATAAACCATAATAGAACCAAACATGCGAAAATAGATCATCACTTCATCAGAAAGATAGTGGAGTCAAGCATCATTTGACCTCTACTTCTCAAGTGGCAAACCTACTCACTAATGACTAAAGCACTCTCAGTGACCCAATTTGACAAGCTTAATGATAAATTCAGAATGCTGACCATATACTCCCTAGCTTGAGGGGCAGTGTGGGCAGCACATAAGCCCAAGTCCTGTGCCCATTCACCTGATTATCTGACTTTACCTCTTTTATTTGACTATGTTCAGTCCATGTATTTGACAATTGATTTTATTTGTTCTGATCTGGTCCATGATTATCAGGACTGAGTTGTCTTGGCTTGTAACTCCCATTCCCATCTATTTATAATGGCTGAACAGTATATGGTATAAGAAAAACCAATTTCTGATTCTTTAGATTTTCTTCCAAATTATTGTAGAATAGAATATAAGAACTGTACTGAAAAAATGTAATGATTTTGTTAAAACGGATTCTTATACTTATAAATAGCGTATTTCTTTAGTAAGATTGTGATACATGGAGGTGATTGGGTGAAAACCAAACCAAAATTTTAAACTAATTTTACGATATACGAAGTATGTATGTGAAATGAATTTTTGTCTCAACTTACATGAAAGCACTTTTTAAAGATCATCCTTCTTCTCTGCTATTATTCTGTTTTCTTCAACTGTATATAATACTCAAAACTATGCTCCAGGCAAACAGCAAAATTATACTTGCCAGGCCAAAAATATACCATAAAGCAGCTTAAAAGAGACAAGGACTACCTAACAAAATAGAACGTCTAAATACGGGAGAAGCATTACCTTACTTAGAAGTTTATCAACAGAGAAAAATTGTATAACACCAGAAACAGACGCTGCCACCGTCGAGTTGTCTGTACTAAGAGCTAATATGTGAACCTCCCCAATAGAGACATCAACAAGACTCAGCTGCTGTATTGGAGAACCATTACCCTTCTTAAACTCTTTGGCCGAATCCATGACGTCATTGGTCCTTGCAACAAAGAACCCTAAAAACCCAAGTAGATGTCAGGATGGATTTGAATATCATAAATTTACAGCTCCAATAAAAAATCACAAAAAAACATATCAACCTGACGAATGAGCGACAAAAATGAGGCCAAAGCGTTCAGAGACAGCAAGAGGCGTACAAGGCAGGCTTTCAAGATCAAATTTGAAGTCGCTGGACATCAATGGAACGGCCTCTCCTATCTTCACAAAGTAGTAGTCAGTGGAACCAACGTGCTCTCCTTCGCGATCATCATCTAGGTTGATCCTGATTGGACAAACGGACGGGTTTGAAGAAGCCATGATACAACAAGCCTACCTTAGACCCTAAAATATCCCTTCAGGACTAAGATGTCCTCTATAGTCCATGCAGCGCAGAGAAGTGTTTTGAGCTGGACTTTCTAAACCTGCATCAGAGACGCAGAGCAAAGGCAGTATGTTTGAATATCTCTTATTTGTGGAATAAGGTTTTCAGTTTTTGAACGGTTTTGGGCTTTTCCTTGGGACTTCCCCGTCGATTTTTGTTTTTTTTTGGACCAGTTCCCAGTCGAATTATAATTTCATGATTCCCAACAAATAAAACAGAAAACACAAACTGAACAGCCTCAACAGGATCAAAGAAGGGGAGGGGTATTTTTTTTTTAAGAAGACTAAGAGTGTGTTTGGATAGAAACCAAACCATGGTTTCAGAAGTGCTTTTACGGATTACGAAGTAAATATGTGGAGGAGATTATCTCGTTTTGCAGAAAAGTGCTTCTGAAACCACGGTTTTGGGATACCCAAACAGGCCCTAAGTGCCTGTTTGGAATCACTTATTTTAAGTTTATAAGTAGCTTATAAGCTCTATAAGCTCGATTGACACCATTGGGTCTGTTTGGATCAACCTTTCTGCAATCGAGCTTTTGCCTGAAAAGCTACAATAAGTTATAAGCTAAAATTAACAGCTTATGGCTTATAGCTTTTGAAATGTAGAGAGAGAAGAAATTAAGAAATTTATTACCCTTTTTGGTTCTTATTATAAGCCTCAAATAACTAATTTATAGATAATAAAAAATTAGTTAAAATTAGTTAAAAGTAATGAATAAGTTAGAAATATATTTTTATTTTTAAATATACTCCTAAAAATATACTTTTATTTTTTCATGTTTCACGTTATATTTAAAATATTTTTTATGACTTCTTTATATTAAATTATTTTAATTTTATTGTATTATGTAAAATTATTTTTTTAATCATGTTTTATTATTTATTAAAACTCATATCTATTTTGGTCATTTTACAACTAAATTTACTTTTACTCAATCATAATCCAAACAACCTTTTACCAATCTCACTTTGTAACCTAACTTTTCTGAACTCTAATCCAAACACAATTCAGCTTATTCAATTTAACTTTTATCCAATTTTATTTTTTATAAGTTATTTTTTCAATAAGTTACTTTTCCAATCGCTAACCCCATGCCCATGCTATTTTTTCGATAATCCAATTGTACCCATAGCTGCTTCTTTTCTCCCTCCCCGTGTTCATCATCAACGGCAAGACTCGGAAAGCTATGGGATCATCCGAGAGAGGCTCTTTCGAATGCCCATTGCTTTTGTCGGTGTTGATAGCCCCAAGATCACCGGCGCTGATGTTGAGGACGAAGGTTGCGACATTGTCGTCTTAATGTGTCTTCATCATTATGACTATTACCAGCCACTACATATCAGATTCAGTAATCCAACCAAAAACATAAAGAGATGGAGAGATCTAACACAAATCCAATCAAACAAGCCAAGAATCATAAAATCGATATCTGCAAAACAGGAGTGAGAGAGAAAAAAGACGACACCAGTTCAGAGAGAAAGAGAAGACTGTCGTAGAGGTTGCGACTACTTACGAAAGAGGAGAGTGAGGTAAAGGGGAGTATGAGATGATGAGGAGTTCTGGTTTGGCATCCCTGACGAAGAAGAACAAAGGAGACTGGTTCTGCGAAAAAATGATGCGTGAAGTGGCATTTTGTGAGGCCAAAATACTTTCCTAAAACATAAATTTTTTATTGGATTAATTAGACTAATATTGATAATTTATGATTATTACATATCTAAATTTATATTCCAAGTGTATTTATAAAATATAATTTTAGAAATGTACACACACACATTATATTACATACTTATAAGCAAAATAATTTTTAGATACTATAGTATTATATATATTAGCTATTAATTATGTATTACAATTATAATTACTCAATTTTGATATTTATGAAATTATAATTTTATATATTAAATATTATTTATAATTACATTTTATTAAATCTTTTATTAAATTTTAAAAATAATTTAAATATAATAACTGTAAAATTGTCCATATAAAAATATTGTTCCTCCCTTCTCTTTTTAAACCAAACAAGATAACATTAAAACTCTCCCACCTTCCCCTCCCTTTTCCTTGTTTGAACCAAATATATCCTGTGCAAAACACTTATATCCCTCCATGTAACTTGCAGTAGAGCAAGAAAAATAAATAAATAAGAGAAAAGGGAGGTAGGGCTCTATTTTATTGAAGGGAGTGGGAACCACCAACACGCACAAAATTTAGATTTTATATTTCAATAATAATAGGAGCCACCATCTGCCTACAATATAGTATAATCAATGTAGCTTCGGATACCTAATAATAGATATAAAATAAAAAGGTTTCAGTTCCCAAATTCAAATAAATTAAAGTGTATTTAGTTCCAAACCAACAGAGAAAAACTTGAATAAGAGGAATCGATGAGGGGGGAAAGGTGCTGACCACCTGAAGCTTTTGAGGATAGAGAGCATAAGTGGCAGCAACATCAGGTAGACACTAGAGGGTGAGGACGACGACGGCGAGTGCACTGTGCATTATTAGTATTTTTAATTTCTCAATCTTAGCTAGAGGAGATTAGTAACTTGAGCACGAGCTCCCGATGTAATTACAAAATTTAATACAATATAGGAAAAATGACATAAAAAGAAACCTGAAAATCTCGTATGCCAAAATCGAAAACTAAGCAAATGTAATGACAAATTGGGAAGTGTTGCTTGATGGGGGGATTATAGAAATGTTGATCAATTACAAAAAAGCCCTTGTATGACCCAAATAATAAACATTTACGGTGGAGAGAAGAAAAGTGTGGTGGGAACTGGGGGAAAAATTTGGAAGGGAGCATGAACATGGGAAGCAACTGATGAACGAAGCAAGCGAGGGTAGCATTTAGTGACCATATTCTTCTTCTCTTTCTTTTCTCCATCTCCTTTATGCGCTGGTTCATTTTCTTGTTTCCATTAGATGGGAATGTCATCAAAGTGAGGTTGGTTTTGAGGTGGAGAGGGTGGCGAAGCAGGGAAGTGCTGTGGGTATATAGAGCCTATAGGGAAGGACGGTAATCAGAGAGTGAATACATGAGGAAGCAAAAACACTAAGGGAGAGGGATTTGATGGTGTCACAAATGAGTCAGAGTGATCAATGTTAGAAAAAGGGGCAATATTGAAGGGGGATTCGAATAATAGAGTCGATTGATTCTAAGAAAATGAAGCATGAGTGTGGACAGGAAAGAAATGAGTGTTTTGTTGCAAATTATAAGCATGAATGTGTCAAACCCTAATCTGGTTGTGTAAGCTGATAATGATGGTATTATGTTGGTAAAATTGAAGTGATGAGCTAAATGTTAAGTCATATAATCATTTTTGTTCTGTTATGAGTAGAGGTAATGATGCAAAATGAATTTCAAAGCTGGGTCATCTTATGGGAAATTTGTGACAAATGGTGAAGGTGAAGTGAGATATAATGGAGGTAGCGTGAGGTTAAGAAGCATTAAGGATGGGCTGACACTTGAAGAATTGAGGCTAATGATATGTGAGTGGATTGGTAGTGATGGAAGAAATTATGACATTAAGTACACAGTGCCTTTGATGAGAAGACATTGATTGACTGTCATGACAATGATGAAATGTATAACATTTTTCAATACAATAGGAATAACGGTCATATGTATGCGGCCAAAAAGGATAGGGGGATCCCCAACCAAGGAACAATACAAAAACATAAGCGGAAGTTTGTCTTAATTATTTGTTGTCATTTATGAATTTCATCTTGTCATTCGTGTTAACCACTCTTGTCATTGTGAATGCAGAACAGAGAGATTCATGAGTATGTCACAACAAACAGAACTGGATGCGTCTCCTATTAGTTTGTGTTATGATTATGGCTAGCTCAGTGAAGAAAATGCGGATGAATGTGACAATGATAGAGGAAGTGGGCCCCCTAATGTGGATACATACATCGGAGTTGAAGATATTAATGGTAATGAGATGAGTAGTGTGAAATGGAGGGGACGTTTTACAAGGGTGGGTTAACGTTTTCCAAATGCATATGCATTTTAGGTGTCTGCATACAAGTTTGTACTTGCACACAAATTTGTGTCCAAATATGTGAGGAATAACAAGGAATTCAAGTCGGTGAGGTATAAAGTTGAAGGTTGTCTATAGAAGCTATGTGCAAATCATGTAGGGAAAAGTTGTCATGTGCTATGAGTGACGCCATTTATAAATTAGTATGTTCATTCGGCCCAAGATAGCTTGGAAGTGATGCATAGTGAAAGAGCTAGTTTGAACTCATCAATAATAATTGATGAGATGAGGGATCATATAGACAAGCACACTTCTGTGATAAGGAAGAAGTTGGAACAAGAGTATGAGATTGATCTAACATAAAAAGAGGCTTATAGAGCAAAAGAGAAGTCATTAGAAGACATAGATAGTAGGTCTGAACAATTATACATGCTCATACCATGGATATGCCAAAGGCTAAAAGAAATAGATGAAAAAACTGTGGCTGAATGGACTGCTATTAGGAACCAGTTTGAGCGTGTTTTCATAGCCTACAAATCATACATTGAGGGTTTCTTGGGTGGTGCAAGGTATATTCCGTATGTTGATGGAACTCACTTAAACGGACCATACAAGGAGACAGTATTGTCGGCTTCAGCTTATGATACAGATGACAAGCTGCTACTGTTTGCAATTACAATTGTGAAGGGAGAAACACTAGATAATTGGACGTGATTTTTTTATATGATAAAAAAAGTTATGGGTTCTGTGAAAGTGACGATTGTATCAGATCAACACAATTCTATCATTAGAGGAGTGGCATCAATATTTAGGGGTTAAAGGCATGCCTTCTGTTATAGAGACATTAAGGAGAATTTTTAGTTCAGAAGTGATGAAAATAAATAAGGGGCAAATAAGGATAAATGGCCGATCAAAGGAGGATGCACTACAATTATTGGATAAAATTGCATATGCAAAGACGGATGAGAAATTTGAGGCAGCAATGGATGACATGAGAGCCTTTTCTCTAAGACTATTTGATTGGCTTATCAATCATGGGGATTTAGATATAGCCATTACTATAAATATGGTCATTTTCAATTCCTCCATTGTCATTACCAATATAGTCATTATAGACTGACAGTAAGGTCATTACTATGAATATGGTCATTTTTAGCTCCTTTATAGTCATTTACCAGTATGTTATTGTCATTTCCAGTTCGTTCACATAATTTTTCCAGTCAATCAGACAATTCTCAACTTTGTTATAAAAAACACTAGCATGCCATAGAGACTCGGAATAAACCTTTAATTACCATTCCAGTCATTCACAAACTTCATCATATCATTTCTAAATATTGACTAATCATTGCTTCCCCCACTCACCTAGAAACGTCAACCACAGCACAAAACTTAAATCCTTAAACTTACCTTAGTCAAATGTTGCTAATGCTTGCTAACTGCAATGGTGAATCACCAACCGCCAACCTTCGTCGTTCCACTCAATCAACCAGAGCCGAGGATGTTCGCCCTTCAAATAGAACAGCCTTCCACTTCGAACTCCTCTCCTCTCTTACGCATGCACTATTTCGAGCTCATCAACTCTCCAACTTGCCAGCATTTTTAGGGCAGCAATAAGGATGGTGGAAGCAAGAAACCAAGAAGCACGAGTGGTCAATTCACGTCCCTCTTTCTTTGCTTTCAAACTCTACCGGAAGGGCTTTTTTGTAATTGAGCAACATTTCTATAATCCACCATCAGACAATACTTTCTAATTTGTCATTACATTTGCTTAGCTTCCTATTTTGGCATATGAGATTTTCAGGTTTCTTTTTATGTCATTTTCCCTACAATATACATATTATATGGCAAAATAATTGATAACATAATAATACAGTGTCCTTTATTTTTCCATTTAATAATACGCAATGTTGAATGTTCAGACACACTAATTAATGTTTCACCTAAGTGCTTTACTAATTTTCATAAATATGACAATGTTGACTAATGAGCGTGGAAAATTTGTCTCCATTTTCCGACTTTCTCAAATTAATTTTAAATTTTTGAATAATTTACAATGCTTTGAATAATAAATTTTGGAATAAAACACTATCATACTACTGCCATTCCTTCATACAAGAGCTAACTTGATAATTAAATCCTAAATATAAAATCTCAATCTATTTTATATATTTATTTTTTAAAAAAAAGTAATCTTTACAATTAAAAGTTCTAGCTAACACATGATTAACAAAAATATTTTAAAAAAATAATATTTATTTATTATAAATAACTAACTCAACAAACCTTTTAAATTATAAAATAGAACAAATTATTTAAATTTACTTGCGTTATTTTAAGCTAGATAAAATATTGTGTTAGATTAACGTTTCCCAATATCAGTGTGATAGCCCATAAAGTTGGGTCAAATTCTCCTACGAAGAGACATGAAAGAAGGAAAGATCTAAAAGAGTCAAACGGTCCCATGAGTTGCAACTTCTCCCAAACTCTAAATAGTTTTAAGAGTTTAACTTGATAACATTCTACAAATTCACGAGTATATCATTCCGCAAATTCACGAGCAGCATCAAACAAATTATGCAACTTTAAAACCATAACTCCTCCAAGTCGTATTGCCAGATTATGTGCTTTCCACGCAAGACTGATGAAGATGAAGGCACAATGAAGGAGCAACAAAATTAACGACAGCGAATTTTATGCAGAAGGGCAATCATAGGCGACTTATCACAGCTTCCACTTCCGAGGGAGAATATAGATGGTACCTCGGAGCCACCTTAGCAATGTCAACGTTATTGGGAGTCACCTGGGAAAAAAAAAATGGAAACAAGTTAACCCATTTCCTTTCTCTGAAAAAAAAATCTGCGTACCAAAGTCACTCTTCTATAAGCTAATTACAAAATCAATACATAAATATTGATACACATGACAAAACCCTTCGACAAATTCTGGGATTACATGGAATCATTAGACTACAATTAAAATTAACCCCACAGGAGGGCAACGTTGTATTCCACCTTCATCCCAACCTGATGTACCAGTTCATGAAGACTATTAAAGGGAGAAAGCATCTTGAAATTAAACGTCAACAGTATTCAACATTTATATTTTAGTATAAATTCCACAATATTTGGTTACGGCTTTAAAGATTCCATGACAAAGTTGTAACTGAACGTTCTGCAGCAGATAGGGTCTCAGAACATCCCGGAAGACAGAGAAATGATGGGAGCAGAAAATCATTATAATCATGGTACCAGGAGTCAGGAAAAGGACGAGAAATTACACTATAAATAGAGTACTTAACATTAAATTTACCCTTACCTTCTCTTCCATAACTTGCTTGAGAATGGATAGAGCGATAGTCTCAGCTTCTTGAAGAGTTAGGTCCTGCGAAACAAACAAATGTCATGGACACCCAATTTTCATGCGACATGGATGCTTCGGGAAAGAGAATCTGCCAATTCAGCATACGCAAAGTGATATACAAAGAGGAAGGGATTCTTTATTTCGATATAGAAATAACTAATAACAAATAATTAATTAGAATTAATAATTATTACTTATTTATTAATTAATAAAATAAAGCAAATAAAAAATTGAATAATTTAAAGCTCCACTTGATTTAATTTGGAGTCAAAGGAAAGAAAGCATGGAGCTAAAATATATCGAAACAATTATCTGATTTTAACATTGCACAGGCCACAAAATAGCAAGTAGATTAAGGGGACCAAAGACAAATGAAAGTCGCATGTTTCAAGGTACATAATACTAAGTCATACATATAAAGTATACTTGGTTTAAAAGTAAGTATAGATGAAAGGATAATAATTTGCTATTTTAGTATCCTTTGTGCACTACATTGAAAAGGAATATACTTAACTTCTAAAGAATGAGATGAAATAAAGATAGAGATGTGTCAGAATTTAATCTTTTGGGATACCAGACAAAAATATATAGATCGTTTTACCTGTAGGTTCAATCATAGAAACGCCCTTCAAAACATGGTTATTAGTATCGTGCGATTCATATCTCAAATCGCACAATACGTCACAAATTTAGCACTAGGAGATACAAATCTCCCAATGTATCCCTCTAGCCTCTGAATCACGCACTGAATCATGTGATTCACACCGGATTCTGTATCCCGCAATTCTGGGTGCTGTTGGGTTGCGTGGATCTGACCCGAATATGTGCGTGACCCAACACGATAATCCAGTTTTTTTTTTTTTTGGTTATTTAAAGGGGGGAAACTGCTGCAAATTGAATTACAAGTCTGTGAAACCCTATTTTTTATTCCCATCTGCTCTCTTTTTCACGTTCTTTATCTTGTGCCCCACGGTTGCATTTTTTTTTCCTCTTCTATTGGTCCTTTCTGGCAAAAAGTTATAAAAATTGAAGGCACTGGTCCACTCTATACTGTTGCTGACTTGCTGGTTGACTAGCAGTCCATTCTACTCCTATTTGGTAATTTTTTTCCGCTTCTTTTTTGCTTCTATTGGATGTTATATTTGTGAAGGTAGGAAGAATGAGTCAGAATTAGAATAAGAAAAAAAAAGAAGCTGATATTACATGAAATCACTGTGAAAGTGTTCCTCCCCATAGACTTATGGTTAAATGCAAATACTGTTGACATCAATGTTGGGGTGGGATAACTAGGATGAAACATCATTTGGCTGGAACTAGAGAGAATGTGAGTCCTTGTACAAGTGTTCCTGATGAAGTGAAAATGTTGTTTGTTAAAATGCTAGAAAATAGAGAAAAAAGTAAATATGCTAGTTGTGTTGAAATATTTGAAGAGGCAACTGCTCAAGATGCTAAAGCGAAGGAAGGGACATCAAAAACTACCAAACAGAAAACAATGAATGAGATGGTAAAAGATAGAGAGTTAGCGATTCAAGATATTTGTAAATGCATCTATGGTAATGCTTTATCATTTAATTTGGTGAGAAGCCCACTGTTCATTCAAAGGTTAAAATCTGTTGATGAATATGGCAGGAGTTTGAAACCTCCAAATTATCATGAGGTGAGAGTTTCTCACTTGAAAAAAACAGTTGATAAAATTCAAGAAAGTTTAGCAAAGTCTAAGAAGGAATTGGAGAAATGGGGTTATACCTTGATGTGTGATGGTTGGACCGATGGTAAAGAAAGGTCTCTTACTAATTTTTTTAGTTAATAGTTCTAGTGGAACAGTTTTCCTAAAGTCAGTGGATACAAGTAGTGTGATTAAGGATACTAAACAAATGTTTGAATTACTAGACAATATGGTTGAGGAAATTGGGGAGGATAATATGGTGCAAGTTGTAACAGATGGTGCATCAAATCTCGTGGCAATAGGGAAGATGTTAGAAGAGAAGAGAACAAAATTATTTTGGTCCCTTGTGCAGCACACTGTCTTGATTTAATCTTTGAAGACATTGGGCGACTTTCAGTATTTTATAATACCATCACCAATGCAAAGAAAATAACAACCTTCATTTATAGGCATACATAGGTCCCTAACTTGTATCGAAAGTATTCTAAAGGAAGAGAATTAGCTAGACCGGCAGTGACAAAGTTTGCAACAGCTTATCTTACACTAAGTTGCATATTGAAACAAAAAAATGCTCTTCAAACCACGTTTGCTTCAGATGATTGGATTTCTAGTTCTTTTGCTAGTAAAAGTGAGGGCAAGCAAGTGGTGGACATGGTTTTTGGGGATTCTAGATTTTGGAGTTCCATCAAATATTGCTTAAAGTGTGTGAGTCCACTTGTAAAAGTTTCAAGACTTGTAGATGGTGACTTTAAAGCTGCTATGCCATATATTTATGAAGCAGTGGATAAAGCCAAAGAAGAGATTGCTAACAATTTTGAAAAGAAGGAATCAAGATATAAAAAAATATGGAAGATCATAGATACTCGTTGGAATTTGCAATGACATAGACCCCTCCATGTGGCTGCCTACTTTCTTAATCCTAAGTAAGTTTTATACACTTTAAAGTTTAAATTTAAAATTTAAATATTTATTGTTTATTTGTATGTTAGAACTTAGAAAAACATAACTTTTTTATTATTTTCGTAGGTTGATGAAAAATTTAATGCGGACAAGAAAGTTTATTTTGGTTTATATGAAACTATTGAGAGAATGATTCCGAATAGAAATACAAGATTTTTAGTTGATCAACAACTTGAAGCATTCAAGTCTGCTAAGGGCCTTTTTTGGAAGGAGCATGGCAATAGATACTAGAAACAAAAAGCAACCTGGTATCGTTCTCTAGTCTATAGTCTATACTACTTAGAAGAATTTAATTTTTAATCTTAATAATAAATCTGAATTTTTGAAATTATTTCTCATTATTGTATCTTTTTTTAGCTCTTTGGTGGGAAAGTTATGGAAGAGAGGACAAGAAGTTGCAAAAGATAGCAATGAGGATTTTGATCAAGTGCATACTAAGCGAAGAAATCGTTTAGAACAACAAAGGTTAAATGCACTTGTATTTGTCAAGTACAACCTTCAACTTGAGATGAGACAAAAGATTAGAGAGGAAAAAGGAGAGACATATATCCAATCTGTTTATCAGATATTGAATCTGATGATGAGCGGATCACTGAGAAAGAAAATCCATGCTTGCCAGTGGATGGGTCATAGATGAACATACATGAGAGTTTTGCTCTTGATGAAAGAGCTCCAAGTTAAAAAAGAAAGAGAGGTATAATATTTTAAAGCTAAACTTAAGTTAATTTTAGTTTAAATATATATCATCATGCTTATTAAGTTTTTTTTGCCCCTATAGGTCCAAGAAACTTGAATGCCAAAGCCAATAACAAAGGAAAATCTTTAGTAAGACAAGAGAATGAGAATGAAGATGATGCTGAAGACGTGGAAGAGGATGACGAAGAAGTGGCATTGTTAATAGAGGATGATCATGAATTGAGTGACATTGATCTTGGAGGTGATGAATGATGAATTCAATTTTATGTTCAGTGATTTTAGTCTTTTTAAGCTAGGATTTTGATTTTTGAATTGATTTTGAGGACTATTTGTCTTTAGAATTTCATATGTTGGCTTTTTCATTTTTTTTGGGAGGTCTAAAGCACCTAATATTTACAAACTTTTCATATCCTTTTATACAAAAATTACTTATATATCATCCTTAATAATTATTTATGAATCTTACGATTCACTATTCGTATCTCGCTTTGATAACCATGCTTCAAAACGCAAGTACATATGTTAATACATTTTTACTCCCCTATCACCACTAAGCTAGACCTAGACTAATAAGCATCACGTCACCACATGTATTTATTATTATTTGTTCTACTCCTCTTTGCACTTATCATCTCTCCCGATCACATTTTATTGTTACAAACACTAATAGTATATGAAGAAACAGCCCTACCATCAGAACATTTATACCTTGTTGTATTGTTCTTGCAGAGAACTGTCTGCTCCTTCTGAACCTGAACCAATAGCTTTAGCATTGCATTGCCAAAATGTTCCCGACGGATCAGTATAATATCTGCATATCAGAAGCCAGAGTCAGCTAAAGATCCACAAAATGAAAGACTTCAACGAGGAACTAGTATCAATAAGACCAGCAACAACAAAATAAATAATTTCATTTGCAGCACGTAAAGATATTAGAGTTCCTATTAACGTATATAGCATAGAATCAGATATTTTTCTTAGGATATTATCATTACGATATTATGAGCCTTTAATACTAAGGCTCCCCTACGTTGTATAAATGCAGCCCTTCTAATGGTGTATAAATACAACCCTTGTATCAATTAAGACCAGCAACAACAAAATAAATAATTTTCTTTGGAGCATGTAAAGATATTAGAGTTCCTATTAACGTAAATGGCATTGAATCAGATATTATTCTTAGGATACTATCATTATGATATTATAAGCCATTAATACTGAGGAACCTCTACCTTATACAAATGCAACCCTTCTAATGGTGAATAATGCAAGAAATTCATCCCAGTTTTCCTCTAAACTTAATAGAGGATAAAGGAATGGAGCCTAAAAAATGAAAAATTAAAATAAATAACAAGCAGCATTAATTGTGATGTGCATGTCTATAAGACTTATATAGATTGAGCCTTCATAGAGACCAGGATTATCCTAAGCGAAGAAAAGGAACAACTGTGCAAGAAACTGCTAATACCATCAATTATGAGACGAATGCCTTTTAGTATTTTTCTTCCTCTCAATTCCTAATCTATGGCATTCTAGTAAAAAGATTGCATCAGATTCTAAGAACAAAAGCCTTCCATGAAAGGCCAAAAAGCCCACCCCAAATACTCCTGCAGCAGCAGGCTTCCTTTCTTTTAATTCTGTAAGCCCTTGTAATAATTATTCAACATTTTTCATTTTTATTACTTTTATAAAGTGGGGGATGGGGCACACTAATCATTTTCCATTCCCAAAATCACGTTTTTCAATCAATTCCCTTCTAATCGATGTACCAAATGGGCTGTTGAAAACAAATTTCTTCAAGTCTCCAAGGCTTTACAACATTCCACACAAATATCAGGAGGTAATTCCTCATGAACCCACTCAACTAGCAATAAATGATAACTGATAACTAGATTCTTTACCATATGCCACATAAGGGATTCAACTGATAGGATGCCCACCTATTATTACTGTCAGAAATCGTAGCCCAAAATTCCCTCTTGACCATTGCTAGAATATCTTGTATTCAAGGCCCTAACATCTTGGCACAGATCATAAGCGACTTGACTTTTATTCTGCATTAATTACCTATCAACGTAATCGATTCCTGCCTAATTGTAAGGAAAGCCCAGCATCCTATATGAGCATTGGGTTACCTATCAATAATATACACACGAAGTATTCCAGTCTACCCCTCTCTCTCTCCACGTTCAAACCTATACTATCCAATAATTACCTATAGTTGGAGAAAGAAAGACATAGTAGGATGTACCCTATCGCTTTGAATCGAGGTGAAATATTTTTCTCATAGAATCATCAGTAGTAATGACACATGGGAATTAGGAATAGGGTAGTTTGGGGATGTAGGAATTAAGACTATAAATGGGGGCTTTGATGGGTGTAATGGGTGTTTAGTGAATTAGTATTTTCTTGTCTTTTGGTCTCTTCTCCCTTTCCAATGCTAACAAAGGTATCAAAGCCTAGCCTCTGGCCACAGTCGCCGTTGCCAGAAGGTCCCTCAATGATTTTCAACACCATTATGGCAGTGCCAAACTCTATCCATGAAGGCCTTGACGACTTGGCACGTCGCCTTAAGCTTCACCAAGCCACCTTCACTTCTATCAACAACCATTTGGACCAGAATGCTCTCGCTATCACTGACCTCAAGCACTCTTACAGTAATGCACTTACGGCATCTTATCTATGTGATTTAGGCTCCTCAAGCATATATGGACCCAAACACCTTCGGATTGATACGGGGCGTACAGTCATTGAAGTATGTTGAATGGATGTAGGGTGTGCAATTCCTGAAGATTCAGTGTTGGGGGTCACTTGGGCTCAAATAGAGGATGACTTTGGGCTCCTGGACTAAAGGACTACTGGAGGAGGCTTCGGTTTTGATGCTCATTAATTTTACTTCAAATTTCTTTTCACTTTTATGAGTTTGCAACTATGTTTAAAACAATAATAATAATAATAAGGAAGGAGAAAAGAAGACAGAGAGCTAGAGAAGGAGTTTTAGTTTTAAGTGTTTTTTTTCCCCACTGCTTTTGTACTGATGCTTGAGTGCAAGGATCTTTTCCTTGGGGGGGGGGGGGTTACATTGATACATGGAATTAGGGATAGGGTCAGGGGTAGTTTAGGAATATACGTATTAAGACTATAAAAAGGGGGCTTTGATGGGTGTAATGGGTGTTGAGCGAGTTAGTATTTTCTTGTTTTTAGTCTCTTCTCCCTTTCCAATGCTAACAAGTAATCTAAAGTATTGCTGTATGAAGAAGATAGGCAATGAATCTTTTATGAAATTCATGCGATTCTGAAGTCTTTGCGTGTATATGAAGTTAGATTCTGACTTGTTCCCATAAATAATTCACCTACTGTTATTCTCATTACCCTCAGAGTCTGACTTGTTCCCATAAATGACTCACCGTTATTCTCATTACCCTAATTCTATCATTAACCCTGAAGACCTTTGCTTTCATGATGGATCAGCAAAGCTAAAACAATTGCTACAATGAAATAAAGAAAAAACTGAAAGAACCGACAAGGGCATGAACAAGAGGTAGGAGGGAACAGTTTAAAAAGTACTACCTCGGGTCCTAAATATAAAATCTAGTTTCCAGAGGTAGCACATAAAGAGGAAGGCTGAGAAAGAAGGGAGTAGGAAGAATTTTCGTAAGGTTTTGGTGGAAAGCCAACCTCTTCATAGTTGGCAACCCTGTTCTGTTATTGAAGGAACTAGCCTTGCATCTTTTTGTGCTTGTAGTGTGTATTGTGAACAAATGCGTGTCCTTTTTTTTTTTTTTCTTTTGAGTGAGATTCAAGGAGAGTGATCCTCTTATAGTGGTTATCTACTAGCTTTTTCCAGAAAATATTTCTACATTGATATCGGCACTCAACTGGTTCGCCATACATCATGTAATGCATGCATTCTTGTTGACGGGAGGTTCCAAACAGAAATCTTCCTCTAACCTCCAGCAGACAAATAGATAGAATACACCCTATTGTACCTCGTGAGAGATGTGCCAAACCAAGGGAAAAGGAAAAACAAGGAATAGATAATGGTTAAGAGAACAAAAGCATGCGATTGAAAAACCTTATGGGCGTACAGTTTGTTCTAAGGTGATATACTAATAAATATTCTCCACAAATTCACAAGCCCATGCATTAAACATATATAAATTGCATTCTACTGCCATTAAAATGAGACAAACAATCAGTGACAGCCATAATATTGTAGTACACGTCACAAGTAGCCATTGCACAGTAAAATGAAAAAGGCGTACTCACAAACTAGGTCCATTCTCATCATGGCCTGCAATGAGGAGAGACACTCCAAAGGGTCGTGACTGTCAAGACGAAGAAAAAATATAGATCATACGTTAACATGCATCCTTGGCAGATTTGGAAGGGGAAAAAAAACGTTAAAATACTGGAGCAACCAAATAAAAATAAGGATATTTTCCAATAGAAAGGAAGGCATTAATGGCAACCAGTCTATATTTTAGAAAATTCAAATTAATTACAAGAATTAAGATGAAATAGGATCAGAGCAAGCATAAGAAATGAGGATAGGAGATGTCAAAGAAAGTATGAGAGCTAATAGAACCTTTACTAATGAATCTATCGACATTACCAAACCCTAACTAGTAAAGGATGTATAAAACTCCGGATGCATTTCGAAACACAGGATAATAGGAAATTTTAAAATTCAAGAAGGAAGATCCTAAAAAAAGATAACTCATTCAAATTCTGACTTTAAATTTTAGAATCTTATTTTTTATATTTATCCATAACTCCTAATTTACAAATAATGAATATCGTTTTTTAATCTCTTTTCAACATCTATTGTTCTCTCCAAGATGGAGAGAACTTGATCTCATGTCTTAGGGTAGTTTCAAATAAATTTGACGTAACAAACTCGTTTAGATTTGGCAAAAGGTGCAGTTAAATCTGAATGTAGTATTCTAATGACTTAACTTCAAATTACTATTCAGAATTAGAATGACTTCATTCTCTAAAAACGCATGACATGCATACCCATACATCATCAAAACTTAAGTGATGATATGTTCAAAAAGACTTGTCGAAACTTGAGCGAATGAGATGCCCCAATCCCATATTGAGTAGCATAAGATGCTCAATGAGTTAAGACTTATAGGGTAGACTGTCCCGCCTCAATAGTGAGCTTTTGGGGGAGGCTTCCCCATCCAAATTGAATAAGCAATCGGTGGCAAAGCTGGTGGTTACCAGTACCCCACCACCCTTGGCTGGCAAGGAAGTCAAATGCCATGATGTTAGCTCTCCGAAGATGAGGTGCATCAGGCCCAAATTGAATAGTATCAGAAACTCAATAGGAAACTCATTTGCGTTACTTCTCCAATCTCAATAGCTAGCTTTTGGTAGAAGGTTACCCATCCCAATTAAGTGCCACACACCACCAACTAATTTTGTTTTTTTTAGCAAAAGCCACCACCAATTAATATTTATCAATTTACAGTTCATAACTTATGTATAGTATATTTGGAGGAAGAATTAAAGCCAAGGAAACAAAACTCATCTCACAATAATTTATTAATAACAATTGTTACAAGCACTTCAACTCCCCATGAATTCATCCATTCTAATCATTCTTACCCAAAGTTAATATATTCCAATCCTTTGAGGACATTATTTATGTGACTCTAAGGTGTCATTCCTAATTTTCCATTTATCTTAGATAAATCCTTGAACTTCAGCTATCTAACCCTTGCACAGCATGCATTTGCAGCTTCACTTGTTTACAATCTTTTCCAGAGTAACTTGCATCTCTTGAGTGTACATGACTGAAAATTAAGGGTGTTTTCAGAAACTAATTCAAACATCAAATTTGATCCTCAAAAACAATGCAAAGCACACATTTTCTGCAAGAACATGATGAATAAAAGCAGCTCCAATCTTTAAAAAGTACAAATAATTCTTACCTAATTACCTTCATCTTTACCACATTTTTTTTTACATGGAATCACTAAGCAATCGAACATTCTGTCCCAAAGATACAACATCACAGACATCTAAGGCACAACACTTAACTTTAAGGTTATACTTCAATTACACAAGCAAGAGGCGCATTCTCCATCATCCAACCAATTTATATCTACCAGTTAAGCTCATGAAAACGAATACACAGACCACTGACACTGAATAGGCATAAAAGACACTTATTCCGGAGTATATGCAAGTTACAAAGCCACATAGCAACAACTGCTTATAACATGTGCCCATATTATGCATACCATGTAACATCAAATGGAACGCAGCATATATTGAGAAAGCCAAGTTGTTCTTTACCATTGATTCTTCATCGCCTTCACCAAATCGCAAGGCTAGATCACATAGAGCTTGGGTTGTAGACTCTACAGTCATTGGCTCCCCATAGGAGAACCTATGATTCTGTGAACAATAACATGATACATGTAAATCAAATAATCAGCTAACAATAAAAGAAAACAAGGAACAGCCACAGAACCTGAGTTTCCACTCGTGCATGCTCAACAAGTGTTCGAGCATCAGCAATTAGTCCACTCATTGCACAACCTATGTGCTGATCAATTTCCATAATTTTCTCAACACTGCTTGGCTCCTGCAAGAGAAGTTCAGGCAAAAAAATTGAAGTCAGTCGCACAAATATATTTATACCACAGCCCAAAGAATATGTGGCTTGAATTGAGTGGATATCATTAGAAATTGTTAGTAATGGACCTTGGGCCTAAAACCCTAACCTAGCTTTCAAGTTTTCTACCTAATTAACCTACGTTACTAAGGTGCCGTCAAGCTAGATAGTATTAAATCTGTTAGATATTATTTTGATTTTTTGCATCTGATTGTATCCTAGAATCTCGGCCTATCCCTAGAATGTCGTGATCTCAGTCACTCTTGACTACTCCCATGTATCTATTTACACCGCTGGCCATTCTTAATAAGATGCAACATATTTTTATCACAAAATCACACAGAAACATATAGCAACATTTTGAGATCTTCCCCTCATAAGTTAAGCATAGACAATAATCATATTTCTTAGACCAAACAGAACACCATATAACTGTAGATTAAGTTAGAATATAAAATAGATATTATGTCCATTTCTATTAGAACCTAAAGATAATAACATCTTTCACACGATGAAAAAAAGGTGAAAGAAAACCAAGGTTAGAAATATTAAATGTCAAGGTACAAACACAATTTAGCTACCGCCCAGTATTATTATTAATATCACAACAGAGCCAGAAGTAAAATAATCTCAAAAGAATATATTTTCGTGAAATAAATAATGATGCAAACACAACCAACAGAATGACCCACAAAGTACAATTTTCATCAAGTAAATCTACATCAAATTTCAACACGCAATTTTCTTACATATATACTACTCATCACCTGCTTCAATAACAGAGCTAGCGTCGCATTTCATAAAAATGTTTTTAGCCAGTGACACTACAAAAATGCAATTTGGTAAATAAACACACCAACAGGGGTGAAGTGATACGCTTTTCAACTGCAAGGACAACACCTTCTTTTGTCTTCAACCCAATTGCAGTTGATCCCAGCTGCAGCCAACAAAAGCCAATTATAATTTACAATTGATGCATATTATTACGCCAGCACAGGATCAGAAGAAACAAAACACCGGAAAAAGTCATAAACTGCTCACTCCCAATTAGCTGTAACAGCTCAGAAAATAAGCAAATAACAGATATGGGAAGCATGAAATAAGCCTAGCCTCCCCATGCTCCACTATTGTTAGTAGGGGCTTGGGCAAAATTTAGGTCCTAGGACAATCAGAGTTAATATGTTGATTTAATCCTAGATAGCAGCATATTCTCCTTTTTAAAATTTTGAATTGTTGATTTGATTGTGATTCCCAATTATCATGTAATCAAGGCTGAAACCTGGTACAAGCCTATAAATATTTGTTTCAAGTCAATGAATAAACAATCAGTTTTTGCATCAAATACTTTAATTATTAACCAAAAAGTTCCAAAATATAAATATGATTCATATGAAAAAATGAGAGGGATTGATCACATAGAAATAATATGTCTTAACCATGGGGGAAAAAATAGAACGGAAATGAGAGATCACTGTGAAGATCACCGTACCTTGATGGCCTCAATTGCATATTCAACCTGAAAAAGCCGGCCTTCAGGAGAAAACGTATTGACTCCACGGTCATACTCAGTCCTTTCTCACATCCAAACACAACAAACAAAAGATTCAGATGGTTCCAGAAGAAACTCCATATCAACTTGTAAATACAGGGCTGAAGAAAGCGAGAGAGAGAGAGAGAGAGAGAGAGAGCATATCTTGCGTTAAAGAGAAAAACCGGGATTCACCTTGTTAGAAACATCTTCGTTCTGATTGGATGAGATCACTAAATAACACAGAAAGGGAGGAGAGGAGATTAGGACGAAGATAAGGAATTAAAGCAAGGAGAAAGAACACAAGAAGTCAACAAAACATCATTAGAATTCAGAGAACGTGGATAGAACAGAAAAGGAAAAAAAGAATTTTGGAACGGGGAGGACAAGGGTGAGCAAAAAAGGAAGAGTCACGTGGCAGTGCATTAGCCCGGGGGCTGGTCACAGTAGCCCGAGGTTTGGTCTATTTAGGTGAACAGCCCGAAGGCCGGTCCAGCCCATCAAATAACTTGTTCACAGTGGTGCAGTTGATCTAGTCTAGGTCCAGATTCTGAAATTTTCCTAATTTTTTTTTTATTACCAATCAAAGTCTAAACAATACACACACACACACAAAAGAACTCTAAAGCAACGACCAAAGTCCGTAACCTAACATCAAACATCAAAGTTCATTACACAAAAGCAAATATCAAATGATAATCAATCTCAAAGTATTATAATTTACAACAGTACCAGACTCGTCAAAGTGACAATATACCTCTAATAATATGAACATGAAATAAGAATAGAACAAGAATAATGACAGGGAGTCAGGGACAACAGAAAAAAAATAACACTCCCATCACATTCCAACAACAAATAAGATACAAATCTGAAATTGACAGGGACAATATAATACAAAAAGATTACTCATTTTGATATTCACATATATGTACACATCAGCCACATGCATCAATATATATACATATCAACATTGAAACTGTTCAAACTTTTAAAGTTCTAATACACTCGTAAAAGCTAATTTTGGCACCGTTCATGACTCTAATTACACGATTCAATCCTCAAGTTTTCCGTTATATCTGACTGGTTTATTTGGCAAATGAATATCAGCGAATGGTCATAGTCTTCTCATAAATTCGTGGACTAATACCACATTAAAATCCAACAACTAACAATAAACAACTTACTCCTCATTCTAACTTCATTGCGAGGCTTTTCTCAAACTTCAACGCACTTAACTTTCATCACAACAATTTTTTGGCCTATATTTTCTTAGAAGCATTATTTGTGGGTAACTATGCATAAAAAATATGAATACAAGTGTCCCTCAATCGATTCAGATACTGATATTACAATACAGAAATTATTACGGTTCTATATTAATTAATATGCACTTAGGAATTACCACCCAAAGAGTGGAACATACAATAAGGGGAGAAAAAATGTTATCAGCAGGAAATTTCATCATATTTCAGACACTTCTAAGTGAGAGAGAAGGGGGGCAAAAGCCATATTTATCACCTTATCTGGTACAGTAGGGACGGAAGTGCCGAGCAGCGGCGAGCAACAGTGGCGACAGGCCGAGAACTTGAAGATGAAAGAGAAGGGGAAGCCGAGAACTTGAAGACGAAGGAGATGGAGAAGAAACGTCGAACGCTAGACAAATGGAAGCTCCTCGCTCGGCCTTACGCTGTCATGCAGTAGCAGATTCAAGCAAGAGAGGAAGAAGGAGGAGGAGACGCGATCTCGGGTCCGCCGCTCGCAAGTGGAGAAGGTCGGGAGGGAAGGGAAGGAAAATCGCAGATGGGAAAGAAACGAATTCGGGGGTGATCGCATGGAACCGGCACTGTTTGGATGCACTTGCAAACCATGGCTTGGAAGCCTGATTTGCACAAAATGCTATCCAAACACCCTCTCAAAAACCAAAACCATGGTTTTGGGTCAAAACCATAGTTTTAGAAAAAAAAAAAATTTTGTTTTAAAAAAAAAAGAGAGAGTATAAGAACCTATAGGATATGTATCTTGTTATTTTTTTATAAACATATTTTTTTATAAACATATTTAATCTTATATTTATAATATATATACATATTAATTATTCATTAATTATATTATCTTATGTGTTATTAATTATGTTAATAAAAAATATATTATTAACAATTTTATTCCACTAAATTAAAATATATCATAAAATCTATTTTTTCTGTAATTATCATATTAACTTATTTCTTTTTTTAGTAATTTATATATATAAAAAGTGCTTCTGATAACAACTATCCAAACACTCTCACTTCTCAAAATCACTTTTTCATAAAATCTATTCTTTCCAGAATCTATTCTTCCCAGAATCTATTCTCCAGAATCACTTTTCCAAATCACGGTTTGGTTTCATCCAAACACACCCCAACCATGTTTGGAAAATAGCTTTCGCAAATTTTAAAAAAATATATTTTGAGAATAAATTTTGAAAAAAAAAATTTTAAGAATAGATTTTAAAAAAACTGATTTTAGTAAAATGAGAATATTTTAGATAGTTGTTATTAGAATTTTTTTTATATACAAATTATTAAAAATAACATAAATCAATGGGAAAAAGACAGTAAAATACCCTCAAAATTACTAAATAATAAATTAGGGTAGGTAAATTTCAAAATTCCAATTCAGACCCCAAGTACCATTTTGGAATTTTCAAATCTTGTAAAATGACAACATTGTCCTTACTGTCGGTGACTACTTCAATATAGCTATTCACTACTCTATTTTAACTATTAATAACTTTTGTTTTCAAAGTTTCAATGGATATTTTTATATAGCTATTGGCTACACAAGAGTAGTAAATCGCATTACTGGAGTAGTCAATAGTTTAGCAAGAGTAGTCATCAGAATTTAAAAATAAATGTACTCAATAGCTAAAAAAAAGTAGTCAATACATAAGCAAGAGTAGTCATCAAAATTTAAAAATAAATGTAGTCAATAGCTAAAAAAGAGCAGTCAATACATAAGAAAGAGTAGTCATTGGAGCTCCCCTGACCAGTCACTGGAGTTCCGGTAACGTGTCATCAAAGTTCAAAAATAAATGTAGTCAATAACTAAAAAAGAGTAGTCAATATATAAGAAAAATTAGTCATTGGAACTCCGACAACCAATCACCGGAACTCTGGTAACCGGTCGCTGGAGCTCCGGTGGTTGGTCGCAAGCAGGGTCGTCGGTGTCAGAGCTTCGGCGGCCGGAATTGCTGATGTGGCAGTATTTAAAAAAAAGTAAAGGGCATTTGTGTAATTTTACAACATTTAAAAAATCCAATAGTACCTGGGGTCTAAATTGGGATTTTGAAATTTATCTACCCTTTTTTTTCATTTAGTAATTTTGAAGGTATTTTAGTATCTTTTTCCCTAAATTAATATGATAATTAGATAAAAATATATTTTATTTTATATTTTTGTTTAAAATAATAAATGATATATGAAAAAAATTAATTAATATTACCTTTGATCCTTAGTATGAGACCTAATCGGATATTTATATTGATTTTGAATATAAGACACCAATTTATCTTGTCTCACACATTTATCCATTTTTTTAAAGTAGTCCCGTGCAAATTTGCACATGTTAAATGTTCTATCAAATAGTAGTCTCAATACACATCATTAACAAGTATCTAAGAGAATGCAACACCTATTTATTATAAATAAATAATTTAATTAATTTTTTAATACTGATAAATTAGTTGTTTAGCTCTTATATTAAGGATCGAACCCAAAGCAAGGTTTTATATCTTCAAAAGCAAAAAAAAAATTACTTCATGAAAAACCATGGTTTTATACCCACAACCATGGTTTTCAAATCAAAAGTAATTTCGCAAAAAATTAAGATACTTATTACTCTTATTCAAACCATGGTTTTAAATTTAAAATTGATTTTGAGAAAAAATATGGTGTTTAGATAATTTTTTTCCTCAAAATTATGGTTTAAAGAAATATCTAAACACCCCTGAAATAAATTTCACGGCGTTCAGTGGAAATGGTTTTAAAAATCATTTTAGGGCCCGTTTGGTACCTGGAATTGATTTTGAAGGAAATAGAAATGGATATGGATATTGAAATGGAAATGGATATGGATATGGAAATGGGGCTTAAAAATATGTTTGGTATACACATGGAATTTTCAAAGAAAAATACCAAAATGCCCTCCTCTAAAGACTCATTCTCTCCGACCGAAAAGTTAAATCAACCCAGCTTCACACAAAACTTCATCGCAACCCAGAGACCACAGTCTTCTTCTTCATCGCCATTTCAGATACTAGTCACGAATCTGGAAAAATCAATTGAGAAACAAACCCAACAATACGGGTACAGACATCTATTAGCAAATTTTCAAAGGTCATATGAATCAGATAGATCATCTAAGTCTGCAATTTTATTTACAAAAATTGAATAAAACATTAAGAGGAATCAAACCCAGCAATCAATGCAAAAATAAAAGCATAAATCAACATGAAAAATAAATCTGAAAAATCAAAAGGCAAAAGGGATTTTTTTCCCCTTTTGGCAAGAGTCCTTGCTAGCCAAAAACCACACACGATGGAGGTGACATCGGAGACAAGGATGATGGTGTAATGCGCGACCCATCTAGCAACTTCAAGCTGGGGATTGAAGAAATTAGAATCGAACACCAATATGCACCCATAATCAATTGTAACTCATAGAATTGTGAGGAACCCAAATGGAATCGTGACTTAGATCTGAGAAACCCAGAAGAAATAGTGAACTCACAATCAAGGATGAGCAATCAGAGAAGATCTACAGTTCTCCGTCATTAAGGAGAAGGGTGGGAGGTCGTCATTGCTGTCATCCTCACCATTGCCTCCCTGCTGCCCTCGCCGCCACCTCTACCTTCTTCACCCTTTGGCATTTTCAAAGATCTAAAGAAGTCGAAGACAGACAGAGCGGAAGAAGTCAAAGACGAAGTAGAGTGATCTGGATCTATAGAGGAGATGGTGGGGGCTTCGTCAGTGATGGGGTCTGAAGTTTGAGGGGCATAAGCTTGCTAGCGGTAGGGGGAGGAGATCGCCGGCAGCAGGATCAGAAGCTTGAGGGGGTAGTAGTTCGCGTGAAGCGTGGAGGGGCAAAAATGAATAATGTTACATGGAATTGGAAATCTTCGGGTTTTTTGATGGAAGCCAATTCCAGTAGTTTGGCTTCCATGTGGAGCCCAATTCCATGTGCGCTTAGCGTACCAAACATCCAATATGATGGAATTCATTTCCATTTCCATTTCTAACCCCCTCAATTCCAGCATACCAAACGGGGCATTAGGCATTGTTTGCTTGGAAGGTTTTTGAAGAGAGGAAAGGAAATGGGAAAGGAGGAGAAATTGTGTTTAGTTTAAAAAATGGAGCGAAGGAGAAGGAAAAAATTTTGTCATTTAGTGCTCCCTACCCTTCTTTTGCTCCCCTCTAAAATTGGGATTTTTTTGGAGGGGAAAGAGATATTATATTTTATGTTGACTAAATTACCCATGTTAATTTTTTAATATTTCAAGTTTATCCTTTTTAGTAAGAACTTTTTTTAACTCTTTGCTTTTTTTTACTCTTTTTTTCTTTTCAGCCCCTACTATTCTTCTATTGATTTTTTTTACTCCTCAAAGATTCTTTTTTTTTTCCTGCATATTTTCTTACTCTGATTTCATCATTTCTCACGTTCTCTACCATTAATCTCCCATATCTTTTCCTCTTGTCTGATCCTTCATCTCATTAATCTCAATTTTATTTTTTTCCACAAAACTCTATTTATTATCTAATTAAGTATGTGAGGTTACGCACATCATGTAATTAAGGATGGAATAATTCAAAATTTGGAGCATAAATTTATTTATAATTTATATAATATGCTAAAGATTATAATTTTTTATTGACATTTATTTTGACATATGATTATTTATAATCTATTTGTTATGTCTCAAGGTATCTAGTTTTTTTTTTATTCACAAATTAGAAAATAATAATTATGATATAAATATCATAATAAAATAATAAAGAAATCTAAATAAAGAGGTAAAGACATATTTGTCAACTTATAATTAGCTCTCCTTCCTTCTCCTCCTAAACCAAACAAGACATCTCACCTCCCTTCTCTTTCCCTCCAACCAAACAAAACTTGTACCCTCCCCTCCCCTCCCCTGAACCAAACAAAGCCTTAGGTGAGGGCTGGTTTCGTTCAAGGAAAATTTGGGCTCGGGAAAGGAAAATCCAAATTTTTCATTGGTGGCGTTGGTTTGGTTAGAGTGGGAACGAAACAAAAGATGCAGCCTAAAATTGTAAATAAAAAAAACAAGAGTGGAGGTTGACATAGACGATATTGTTGTGTATGGAGAAGGCTCGAGAGGATGAATATTGTTGTGAAAATATTGAGAGCAGGAGCTAGCTTTGTTGATAGGTTTGTAATTATCCTCTACTCGTATTTTGTTTTTCATTTGCGATCTTTTTCTTTTCTTGCTTTGTCTATTACTTTTGTTATGTGGGAGTTAATAGAAGGAATGAAAACACTTTGAATGAATTTAAACTGGGGTTTTTTTGTGTGAATTAATAAACATGTGTTGAAGATGGAAGGTAATGAACATTTTGCAAATCATGGACTAAGAGTACGAAGATATGTGTCTGGAAGTCATGGTTGGCTGCTCAGCAATGGTTATGGGTGTGAGAAAGCTCTTAATTATAATGATCGTTAGTGTAGCAGCAACTATGAGCGGGTTGTTAGGGAAGTTGCCATGCTTATTTGTGAGCAAGTTGTCATGTTCCTGCACATTTTTGGTGATTGCAAAAGGGTT